AGATGTATTTAAATCTTTCAAAGTTAACAACTTACATCTGTTTGAAAACGCATTTTAGTAAAGAAAACAAACATAGAAAGAATATTTGTCAATTCAGATATATAGAGAGTGAGTCTCAAGTTTAGACATTAAATGTTTTCGGATTAAAAGATATTTACCTTTCGGAACTCTCCAATAGGCGTATGAAATATTCCATGTGAAGACATTTTCGCTGGTAGTCTTGAAGTATGGTCTTTTCAAAAATACAAAGTGACTGAAGTCGAACCGAGATTATTTAAGACTATTTGACAGCAGTATTTGTAACTCTGTCAAATTGCCTGTTAAAACGACATCCAAACGGAATATTTTAGTCAAGTCTTACGTGTGGACACGGTATAATCGGATTCCTTAAAATTCGTATAAAGTATCCTCCATTCGATCTCACCTATCCTCTTGATAAGTCCCTGAAGGTCAACCTTCTCATAGCCACTAATCCCCACACAATAGTTTCTGACCGGTATCTTTAATATATCATACAATGTTTCCAATTGGTGATTACAAGTCGAGCGTCTATGCACATCAATTCCCCTCGTGTACAATGACGGGACTCGTGGACTTAATCAGATCCAAGATGTTTACACTATGAGAAATGCCCGATTGAAGAACGCCCTGCTTTGAATGGGATTTTACGTCTGAGTACATGATAGCATTAAATGTTTTACAGCTGTAAACATCTTACATATATGTTATATAAATGTAAATAGCTTAAACCCATCCGTAAATTAAGTTCCAATGCAAAATGATTCCCATGTATGTGAATTTTTATATACTACAGTGTCCTGTACATCGCTTGCTATCTTTTGAATGTGAAATGGTGTGCAACATTGAATATTCGAATGCTGACACTGAAAACTTTGCTTTGGGTCAATATTTGGTCCCGAGAATGAAAACAAATGGCTGTCATTTGAAGTGACGTTAAACGCATGACTGAAGGAAAACGGAGCAACAAAGTAATCTATTTTCAACCAATAGGTTTTTTGGTGGTAATTTGTAGGACTATTTAATGTCGGCACATGACAGCAAATAATGAACGTTTATTCACAATGAAAAAATTCACATTTCATTGTAAGGTAACAATATCCCCCAGTAATAAAGTACCGCAGACTTGGGTCGATAACACGTCTCACTGACAGTCACTTCACTCAACTGTGATCAATTGTAGCATTTAATACAAAGGTCAGCAGTATACAATGACCTAGTCCGTTTTATGAATGCTTCTGTGGTTCTTATACAAAACAACATAAGAAATTCGCTTGAGCTAGATAACAAATCGGTCCCAAATTTAAGTACAACTTACGAATTCGATGGGCGCCATTGTCACATAGGACAGTATTTGACGAATTGTGTTTCGTCAGAACTCAAACAGAAAGCTTCCCTTTCTTCAATCCTCTACTCAAGGTATCTTTAGACCATCATCTCTCCTGTGTTCGCTACCGACTTCCAAGCCAGTGTTGCCATAGTTATAATATGGCTCAATTCTCAAGTAGCTTATAGCTGGGTTAAACGTTTTTTAACCAGTGGTAAAGGAAAAAAGTATTTCTTGTCACTGAAACAAATGTGGATTTCAAAAGCAAATCGAAAATAGCAATGCCAGTTTGACCTGACTCAACAAATCTATATCTGAGAAATGATAAGACATGTTCCCAGTTTTGTTTAAGTCATTTTTGAAAATATTTGCTAACCACGTGTTATCTCTGACAAACCTTTCAGCAGCTGGGGCCTGGACAACACTAATTTATAGCTACCTACGACTTTCCATGCAGTTGATTGTAGACTGCCTGGTCCTTGTTCTGAAATTTCGTGAACTGAGGTCTTCTAGTTCACATTAGTCCCACCGTTCTTCAAACTCTGACCCAGTTACAGGTACTGACAACAAATAACTCTCTTGGTATCCCAGATTTTGTCTTGTGTTCCGTTTATTGGACATGAAAAAGTATTGATCACCAGCCCGAACGCGTGTTCGTTTAAGCAGACCAGCCGCTTCGTCGGCACTTAAATCAAAACATTTCAGGCATAAATTGGGACGGATCTGCAAATATTAATCCAGGTCTGGAAAGTTTAACTTTGCATCTTGTCTGAAAGCAAAATAAGATCGGTAGGTCAGTCCTTATTTTATAAACAACAACTGTGAACCAACCGATCAGTGCTGTTTTCTACAGTAAGATCCGCCAAACGCGCGCTGCCATACGGACAAGGAGTGATAACAAAGGTTGAGATAGTTTGTTCCACAACTATTGAAAAAGAAATTAAATATTGATATTTTATTACTTTCAGGAAAAGGTAGACGATATATTCTGATTTCGCGGTATGACAATGGGCATTTGTCATTTAATACTACTTTGGATGTCTATGATGAAACCATTTTTGTTCAGCTCCATAATCGCTCGAGCGATGGTAACCTCATCTGGCGCAAATATCGATTCTGTTCAAGCAGCAACGTCCGATTTTGAAGGTTGCAATAATTTGACGAAATTTGGGTAAAGTAACCTTAAACCGAAGTCTTTTTCGATGAGCACAAGGTCGAATATAATCCCTTCTTCCTTCAACTGTTCATCTAATGTAATAATCCTTTCGGTGATAATTGAATGATGATTTCAGGAAAACTTTGACTATCAACCTCTCCACTCAAATGATTATTTTCCAAAACTGCAGCTTTTAGCTCAAAGACCATGCTTGTTGCATTCATATTCACTTTGCCGATAAAGGCAAATTTTTACTTCCGGTAAGAGGAAATTGTACAGACTCAAACTGCCCAAGTGAATGTTCGATGTTCGTAAGTATGCTTTGTTCTTTCATTGCTCTGGTTCTCAACTTCGAGAACGTGGCATTACTTCGATTAACCTTGATTTCAGTCTAACTGTTCTAACCTTCCCCAACCTATAGCAACTCAAATATACACATATATATAGCAGAATATGCGGACCCTTCAGTTTTATTATCCCTGTACTGTTTCAATGGTCTTTCTTTCCATTTTTCACATTTTGCCTTCGATCATAAGTTTGAATAACTTATTGCAATGGCAGTATTGTTTTGGTTCTTCTGTCTCCTTTACTGTTCTCTTTTATTTCTGTGGTCTTGATATCTCTGATATTCATTCTTTTTGTGCAAAATGTGAACGTCAGTTGTTGAAAACATCCTTTACATTCCTGTTCTTGTTGTCGTTACAGCATTTCCATCTCTCTCTCTATCTCTCTTTCTTTGTGTTATGTCCCTCAGTATCCAGGCTGGCAAGTTCCTTTATCTATAAACTTGTTTTTATCCCTGGGTCAAGAACTTTACCATTTGAACTTTTCATTTAATCTTAAGGAGCAGTTTGGGAGAATACAGCGTTTAATGTAAATCAGACAGAGTACCTGGTATCTGTTATCTTTAACATTGATTTACCTAAAAGAGTAAACCCTTGATTTGTATAAATTTGGATCGCCTTTCCTCCGCCCTTAAAATTAGGTGAATTTCCACACAATACCAACCTAAGTTACCATCTCTTTCCCTACACTGAAAAAGCAAACATTTGGAAATATCATTCACATTTCTTATAATGGTTCCAAAAATCAAGAACAAATTTCTTCCAATACCACATCCACACTCCCATGGGTATTAAAAGAACTAAATATTAGAACGGAAATTCTGAATTAAACAAATGCAAAAACCTAGGAGGGGCCAAAAATACAGCACTTTTGACTATCGGCAATAAATATTAAAATCCAACAGAAAAAATGTTCACTTTAGTGTGCACTAGTGCACTGATAGCAGTACGATTATAATTCCATAAAAACAGGGGGCATGTCATGATCTATCTATGCAACACCCTTAATTTACCTCTTATTGATGACATATTTAGGTCACAAATCCCTTTACTTTTGTTGGCCAACCCCTTACCTGTGCCGTAAAGTTTTGATTGTAAAGATTCATCTTAACTTCCTCCATTAAGCCAATGGATGACACTATCTTTCTTTGGAACATTTTTTTTCAGGTTGGTAATGTCAGTAGAATAGAAGTTCTTATAACCAGTAGAAGATTTGTGTGTGACGTTTCAATGACAACACAGTCACCTTCATCAGACAAATGTCCAATGTGAAACTTTCTAGGCTGCATTATCTCATATCACTATTTTCGACCTTAGTATACATGGGATTATTGTGCAGTGAAAAAGCTGGTTGATTCCATATATCTTGTGATAAGCCCATGTCTGGTAATAATGGGCACAACTAAGGACAAAGCGGAATCTACATATGATATTTAAGAAAGATCCATCCGGTACTTCTCAAGAATTAGCCATAACAAACTTTCAAAGTCAAAATCCAAGATGGCTGCCTTTTGGTCATGTTGTTTTTCTGATCATTCCCCACCCAAAATTGCTAGGGCACAAGATACCCAGGGGAAGCTACATATGAAATTTGAGTGAAATCCATCTCTTACCTTACAAGAAATAGCAATACCAAACTTCATTGAAAAAATACAAGATGGCTGTCTGTCAGCCATTTTGTTTTTCTTATCAGTCCCAAAATAAACACAGGCACAACTAGGGATCAAGGGGAAGCTACATATGCAATTTGAGAAAGATCCATCCAGCACTTCTCAAGAAATAGTGATAACAAAAATTGTTAACAGATCATGGATGCAGAGCGATTTGAATAGCCCATCAACTGATGATGATGGTGGGCTAATCAAATTTACAAATATTTCATTTTGGGGTAGGGTTTCCTTGTAGTAGTTACTGGCTGTCTCATTGAACAAAATAAGGGAGGTCACTCTCATGCTACCTTCCTGGTACACAGTATCCTCCCACCAATTAATTAATTGGGCTAAAGTCCTAGGATACCATCATAAACAGCAAACAATGGTTTGTGATCTTGGCTTCCGGAGACATACAAGTGTTTAAAATCAAACACATTTCTGGACTTCATCCAATACTTTCAGAACGACTGACATTGTAAAGAAAGACAAAAATGAATGCGATGTAAAATTGTATGCAATATTTAATTGGGGTAATAATAATTTTTCAATGTAAAAGATCCTATTTCTTAAAATCTAACGTCATTGAAGAACTGAATACCAAAATAACACCTTTCTCATATTGCATGGCATGACATTACATATCACTGTTGATGTGACCCCATCAAGCAAAATCTCAATATTAAAACAAATTCACATAAATCCATCTTTTAAACTGGTGTTTCAGTAATTACCATGTAAATATGCATTACTCCGTGGAGACAATTTAGCAAAGTCACATGAATCTATTTCAGAGAAGTAATGCCAACAAATATGCTGGTATTTCTGCAAATTCACAAATATATCTCACTGCAGTAAGTCCAACAATTTGACATATTCCAGTAAAATCTGTCACTGGTATTCATGTGCATTTTTCTCATTGTAGATACTTGTCTTTTAGCACTTTCTCAAGAATCAATATGCATATTGTTTTTTCATCAAGTTCTTGAGAGTCCATCTCTCCATCTTAGGTATTTCAGTAAATTCATAAGAATCTAGAACTCCTTTTAGAAATTTCAGCAAGTCACCTCTCCAAGTAGTTAATATGTCAAGTACATGTCTTTATTTAGCTACTGTGACAATATTCCCATGTCATTGGATATCATGATTTTTTTTGAAAATCCAGGAAGATGAATTTCATCAGATGCTGTATATTTCTCCATTTCCTATGAAACCGTCAATAAGTTAGCAACAACCAGGCTCAGATTCTGAAAATAAAAATTGAGATTTACAAAATATTTAGCATCAATGTAAAATTGCTTCTCCTGTTCCTTGAAAATAACATCTCTTGCCAATTGTACTCTCCTTTTATTAAAAATTATATCATCTGTACATATCAGATATAATTAAACATTTTTGATACAATACCAATGAATTACTGTGATAACTTATGGCATAAGACAGGTGTTATGTTTCAATAATAAAATGTCTAATGATTATTGTACTGAACCTGTGATAAGCAAAGTCTAAGAGTGTCAACATTTGTTTGTTATTCTACTGAAAAGCTATGAATATTAGCGGCACGATTATCAGACATGGGCTTTTTACAGGATATATACCGTAGTTTGTGTCCTAATAATGGTAAACAGAATATTCTTCTTTTGGTTTAATTGCCTACCACTTATATCAAATTCATAAGAATAAGAGAATAAATAAAAGACTACACCCTCATCCACCCACCCACTCCTCAAAAAGGAAAAAAATAAAGAGAATAATAGAGTACAAGATAAGAAAGAGGTTATTTGTGTGGTGCTATAATAAGAAGAAACTTGGATTGGCTGAAGAACCTTATAATTAAAAGCTCGATGAGAATCTTTTCCAGTCTTATCAAAGGAAGATGCACAAGAGTTTCTTGTTGTTTCATTGTCTATAATTAGTGATTTTTAAACATCGCCTTGAAATTTGACTTGATTATAAAACTTAATGCATGGAACAACAATATAGGAGTTTCACAGATTTTTCCAAGCATTTGCCTAATATATTCCAAACAAGATTTTTATCAGGAGATTTTTAAAACAGTAATGCTGACCTGCATTAGTAATGCATCACCCTGAAACCCATATCAGTTTGAAATTTCAAGAGAGAACTGTATATTACTTCATTAAAATATTCTATCCAATAAACCGCAGACAAGGTAAGTGTTGAAAGATAGAGGAACCATAAAACTAAAGGATAGAATTATGCCAATATATATATGATGTATATCCAAAACACTGGACTTACTTTTTCACAATTTGGACCACATCTTCGTCACACAGAACATGATCCTTGCCAACTTTCTGAGGCTGGTGCTTCACTGATGAACCCCATACCAATGCACTGAAATACAGATAATTTTACAGAGAATAAGTAAACTAAATACATTTTCCTTCAATCATGGAGTTGAACCATGCAACTGTCATTTTATACAGTATGGATCAATTACAGCTGTGAAACAATATCAACAAACTTAATATGGATACTTGGAAAGTAATCACTCTGTCAAATTGTTGGATATCTAAAAATAAAGGAATATATTTCCATTGTAGTTCTGTTATGTAGTTGTGATACACTATGGAATACACTTGCATAGGCTCTCACAGGAGTTTTCATTGCATACAACATTTATTAAACAATTATACTGTTCACTTCATATCCTTTTTATAACAAGATCCAAATTGTAAACAATTATTCAAACAAGATCTTCTTTCCATGTCGCTCTTAGATGTCTGGGATTCATGTCTACTCTCTCCATTGTAATTATGATAAAGCCACAATAATATATCTATTTTATTTTATTTATTTAGCGAACCTGACAACAGCTAATAAAGCCTTTAGGCCTTTCTGCAGATATAGATCACACTAGTATTACACTTAGAATTATCACATGGGAGATTTGACTGAACTCAATAGCATTTAAGAAGGAAAATTGTTTATCAGATATGTACAAGTGGACTTTAGATAGTAATATGTAACGACTCATAAAATGTGGCTACATGAAAATTTTGAAAGTTTACAAACTTTTTCTGCTAAAAGTATAGCTCAAAATATCTTCAAGCAGTTGCCACAATACCAACAAATTTCAGAACATTCCATGCAATAATATATCATTTAGCAACTAACGAAAGATGACAGAGTTATGTCCCTTCTTTCATGCACAGAACGAACAGGTAGGGTATGTAACTTACTATTTGAATTCTTTAAGTAAATTTCTGTGGAGTTTGTTGGCAAAATCTTCGATAGAACTCTTTCCCTCTTTCAAAACAACAGGTGCTGTGTAATCAGGCAGCTGTCCTTTAGGTTTGGTGTATCTGTGGAGAAATAGAGTTAAATGTCTGCTGAAGCGTCAAAGACAGGTTTTTCTTCAGTTGAATAAGTTCTCGACTTTTCTTAAGTATCATCTGTGTGAGACAGATAGGTATCAGCTAAGGAAAAGGCTCTGAAAGCCTGTAACACACATCTAAACTGTTATTATATGTAAGTTCAGAATGTTAGTTTCTGACTATATATATCAGACACTCTTTCATGTTAAATTGTTAAATTTCTAACATAGATAGATCTTGGAATGGCAGTGACATGTATTAAATTCTCAGTTCACTGTCAAATTTAAGCATGGAACGCAGATTACTGAAGCACAAACGGTATTTACATTGGAAATTCTGTACATGGCAGATCAGGGATATATATTACATGTATACCATGAAAATAAATATTCATGTATAATATTTTATCATAAATGTGGTACTTTAGTGACTGCTTCTGTTTGTTTAATCAAACAAGTTAAATTGAAAAATAACACTTACATTCTGACGAGACCAAGATAATTCCACATTTTCTCCAGAAGGTCATCAAAGTTCCACTTGTGATGGGCTGATATGGGCACACAGTGAGGTATTTTGTAAATAATTTCTAACTCCTGTCATTAGAAACAGAAATACAGAAAATTACCATAAAATCAAACAAATGCTGAATTCACATATCATTGATATGAATGGCATTACTGTAGACAAGGATATATTTTATCCATATTATTATAGCATTGTACCATTATACACGGATTCGTCTTCTGTTGATTTTGTCCTGTATGGATTAAATAAACGTGTTATATAAGCATAACAGGACACTTAAATGTTTGTTGGTAATTCTGTTTCTCAGGATCAAGTCAAATTTCTAAATAAATGCAGTGATTAATCTTCCCATATAATGACTCCGACTGAATCTAGTTGAAACCCTCTCAGAATTTATGGAAGAGTAGTGTTTTCAAGCATAATATGGTCAAATTACAGATTCGGGCCTCATTTCCCAGGATTCAAATCAACTCTCTGAATTAAAGAAATGATTGTCCACCCCTAATGATGCTTCAAACCAAATTTCGTTGAAGCATCATGGAGGAGAAGCATTTTCAAGGAAAAGTTTACAGACGGCACATGGTAACAGACCAAACACAATTGCTAAAGGTCATCTTGACCGTTGAGGTCACATGACCTGTGTACACCAGAATCCATTAAGTAATCACCTCGATGGAGATCTGATCTATTTTGTTGAGTAGGTATATACAGGGGATGTAGACCCGATTTCCTTCTATAACATCAATGAGCTCCTCCGACGTGGAATCTACTCTGAGGACAATGTCTGCATTGTGAATTTTGTATTCGTTCAAAATTGTCTTTACTAAATCAAGGTCCAACTCAGATTGTGTCACCTGTAAAATACAAAACAATCAACTTTGCAAGAGTATCTTGTTTATGCATTGAAATTAAAGCCAGAACACTTATAATATATTTTGTGTAATATTTTTTAATAAGTTTGTCTGTGAAATCAACACAACCATGTCACATCTTTAGGCCTATGAATTGTGAAACATAACAATTTCTGGTATCATTGCATGATAAATTTTGAAATCACCACTGATGTACAACAATTCCATATGCCCAACATTCAAGGCAAGTATATCCTATATCAGATGCCTGACTTTCATATACTTTCCAAAATGGGTAACCTTTCCCATGACCCCTGACAGCTATCCAGCTACTCCTACTCCAAACAGGCTGCTCTGATTCACACTCTTAAACAACAGGTAATATCTGATATTTATCAAGCATATTATGTAACTACTGTAGCACCAATGAAATTATTTTTTTGTCAGTTTAAGGGAAATAACTCTTTCTTACAGTCAATGAAATTTTGCAATTATTTTTTAACATATAATTTTTTCAAGCACAGTGTACATGTAATTATTCTCAGCACAAATAGTATCACATACCAATGTTTGCAAGTTGATGCCTCCCTTCTCTTTTTTCTTGAATCCAATTTGTGGTGGGGACTTGTTGAGTCGGATACCAAATCCTTCCAATTCCTTTTCTATAAGATTTTTATGCTGAAGAGGCTTAAGTACATCCAGTACTATAAAGATTAACCCAGCAGTCCTGGCAACTGAAAAATTAAATAAACAAATATTATAAAAAATTAATCAAGTGTACAGAAAATTTTTATTTTCAGTAAAAATTAAAAGCAATAACATTTATTGACATTTAGAAGGAAACAAACGTCATTGAACTTGCCTGCTATGACTTGTTTTCCTCGACCTTTTCCATCTTTCGCTCCTTCAATAATTCCAGGCAAATCCAGCAACTAAAAATCAATACATCAAAAATCAATTAAAGAAAGTCTTTAACTGAGTCAAATACAGTACACTTAATTCAGAAATTCATCAGGGTGTGAAAAATGCATTTCCTCAATAAAGTTTCCATAATTAATAATGTGCTACATATTGATGTGGTTTCCAATATCCTAAATACAGAGTAATTGTTTTTCACTGACAATCTCTAATTTCTGCAATTTTTGCCAGCACATGGTATTGTGAATATTGAACTGGAAATTTTTTGTTGAAAAAAAGTTACTCTGTCATTTTAGTTCCTACTCTTCAAAGGTGAAAATATGGCTAAAATTAAGATATTTTGGTTTCAATACCTAATGTTTAAAGTTGCATGTGGCAAAACAAATCCTCGTAATGATGTAGCAACATCTGGGCATAAAATGATGTTGGTAAAGTAGATGTGAATCAACTGCTACATGTGTTACAAAACTAGATTACTAGCAAGAACTATACATGTCTTAATCGAAATTTCTCAAGAAAAATCTGACTTTTTTAATATTAATTAAATACGTGAGAGCAACATAGGCAGTCATACCATCTCAATGTTGCAGTGGCTGTTTAAATTAAACCTTAAACTGAAAATGTGTACTTTTTACCATGAGTCACTTTATCAGTAGTATACAATAATGACTTGAAATCTCCTTCTTAAATTCAATTAATGTAAAAGAGTCAGAAGATATACTTGCCTGTATTTTTGCCCCTTTGTACCTGATGACCCCAGGTACTGTTGTAAGTGTGGTGAACTCATAGGCGGCTACTTCAGAATATACTCCAGCCAGGTTGCTTAGTAGGGTAGATTTACCAACGGATGGAAACCCTGTAATCATTACAGATAAAAGTCATCATCACATAAATAGATACGGACACAGATAGTAACCCTGAAATACAGTAAAGGCCACAGATTATTGCCAACTGATAGAGACTGTGTAACATTCCTTTATTAGAAAAACAGGCAGGTTGTCTTTACTACATTAAAGGTTATTGAGAGGTAAAATCTTTTTTTTTAGGTCCTATGATATCTAACATATCCCTGGTTCTCCCATTATGCTTTATAAACTTGCCATCTCTCATAACAAGTTGTCATTGTATGTATCCTACAGTAGAACAGGGGTCAACACAATACCTCGCACTCAACGTCAGGGGTCAACCCATTACCTCTTACTCAAAACAAGGGTCAAAACATTATCTTTGACTCCAGACTCAGGTCAATCAATATCTCTGACTCAAAGTCAGGAGTGAACATATAGCCTCTGACTCAAGAGAGGCAGATTTAATAAATGACAATGAAACAATATTTAAATGTTGGTAATTCCACAGAACAGCAATAGATATGCACAGGTACTTAGTATACACATACTTAAGTGGTATGTAATCTTGTTGTCTCACCCTAGTATGAAATCAGTCACTATCATTTTCAGTGACTTTACTGGTACTCTTTGTTCACAAATTCAGATATCCATATATTAATCAAATGTGAGTAACCTTATGAGTATAGCAAAAATACATAATATTGGTAAATTTTATAAGTATATGTAATCAAGTGCCCAGGAAATTACGGAAATGTTTTTGAAAGCCTAGAAATTTGAGGCTCTCAGATTATATCAATATACAGTAACATTTGTCCAAATGTTTGATGCTTAGCCATCACTTTACCTACAAATCCTATCCTGGCATCTCCAGTCTTGGCAACATCAAAGCCCTCCCCTGCTCCCCCACCACCACCTTTAGGTTCGATCAACTCTCGTCGTAGCTTTGCTAATCGAGCTTTTAGTAAACCTAAATGCCCCATGGTGGCTTTGTTTCTCTGGGTCCGATTCATCTGTAATAGAAAGAAATTACGAAACTGTCGTACCACAAAGTCAGCAGTGACATCCTATATAGGAAAACATTCCAATAGACCATCACTTCAAATTATTATGTCAGTTCATGCAAAATTGTTTTCCCGTTATCTAAAAATATTTCAGGCTGATTGGGGAAAGAATCCTGACATTCCTACAGAAGAAGGATTTTATAGACATTTTTCTCGTATAAGGTCCTGCCCCATGGGTGGAGGCCCACCATTAATACAAAACTTATTGCACTGTACCCAAGGATGATTCAGACTGATTTGGACAGAATACTAACATTTCTACAGAAGAAGGGGCCCTTCTTACCCCTCACCTCCACAGCAATTTTGACAAAATCAAATAATTCCTAAATGATAAGTAGAATTTAATTTGCTCTACTTCAATTTTTGGGACCCAAATCTACGGCCCAAATGGTCTCCAAGACCAAGCTTTTATTCAAAATCAATTCCCTTTACCCAAGGATGTTTCAGACCAAATTTGGGCCAAATGCATTCAATCCTACAGGAGTAAGATTTCAAAATTTCACGTTTTGGTTCCCTGGGAACTGAGGCCCACCATTTAATTTAGATTTTATTGTCCTTCCACAAAGATGTTTCTGACATAATTGGATCAAAACCTGCCAAGTCTTTTATGACTGGTAGTGATTTTAAGAAAAAAAAGTGACAGATGGCATAAGCAAAATAAGGGAGTAGTATAAAAGGAGCAGATTGGTATGGTTTAGCATAAGCTATTGCTTAAGAAAAGATCACTTAATCACTAGAAATATGTGACACAGAAGTCGGCGATATATTATATGGTCTCTGATAACATGGACACCCCCCCCCCCCCTCGACCACCCGCAAAGAATATATCAATGAACATGGAAGGATGAAGGGGATATTAGTATTTTTCAATCCAAAATCATCGTCAGCGCATGTACACGTCATCTTTCTGAAGTTTAAAACTTCTAACTTGGATGACAACAACACAGTTCAGTGGAGACTTTATTACACAGGCCCAATATTCTGGACAATTTCATGAAAAGAATTGTACCAAATAATTTGTCATCGATGTGTCAAATTTCTCTGTTTGTGTTACTGATTAAATACAGAGAGAGAAAACTGTTAAAATTACCTCGGCCTCAATCTCTGCGATCTTTTCCAATATACCCATCTTGTCTCTATTATTTCACCAAAAACGTGCAAGCAGTCGAGGAGTTGGCTCCTTAAGTGACCCGGAAGCACTTCTGTGTAAGGAAACCGGAAATCAATATTTCATTGGTAATTTTCGCAATTCTTTAAATTATTTCAATTTTTTCGTCATAAAAACACCCGAATAAATTGTAAGTAGATATAGTGTAGATTCTTGCTGGGGAGAAGAGGAAAAGACATGTCTTGAAAACAGCGATATTTATGCAAATTTAGCAGCGACAAAGGTCAGACATGTGATGCGCATGCCAATATCCTGGCATTTTCAGCATTTTCCGATGTTGTGCTGCAGCCGTTCAAATTATACGTATTCACTGTTGTCTAGAAATATTTTCATAATGACCTTTCGCATACTGTACAGAATTATTGTTGTGTCGTGAGCATAGCTTTGTAAATACTGTATCATATAGCTTATATTGACTAGAGCTTTCGAGGACCAATAACGTTGTTTTTCGTATCGACTTGTAGTAGGTGAAGGTAAAGGTGAGTCTGTCGTCGTCCATGTTTTCATGTTTTGCTTCATTAGCATTGTCATTCTCCAAAATTTCATCTGCATTGCCCGTTTACTTGCACCTATTTTAAAGTAAACGTTAACATAATCCATATTTGGTTTTGATTAGTGTTAGGAAGTGACAATTGCATGTACATTTCATTATGCATTTATATCGCTAAGCATATCATTATCAAAGTTTGTATTTTTTGTACTGCAGCGAAATTTTACAAAAGGATGGCATATCGGTGTCAAAATTAGACATGAACGTCATAGGGAGTAATGACTTGAATGTCTATATCAGTATGAGCATGAATATTATATTCGGTGGTTGACTACAGTATTTGGTATATGATATTTGCAAATGAACATCTTTTATTTACATTTTAAATAGGTCATTGTGACATTTTCAGTCTAAGGATGATAATGAAGTTGAAAATGTGTGATAGTGATGTACATTACAAATTAACAGAGGAAGCCCGGCCTTTATATAGTCCCCCATTTTTTCCTTCATTAGATTTGAAATATTACATGATTATAATTTTCCTCGCATATTGGACATGCATCATATTATCAAGTCAACTCTTCATTCTTGTCTAGTTGTTGTGGACTTGTACTAACTGCCTGTCAGTTTCATGCGTTGTTCAGTGCTAAACTTTATAAACAGAGTTTCCTTTAACTGCTCCTTTGCCAAATGTGAGAAAATTGATGAACACAAGTTGTCTGGTGAAACCATGGAGCCAGAGGAGACTAGGATCTTTGTGTAGTAATACTTCCTGATGATGTTGTCTATCTTGTTTGGGAGCATTTCACAACTAAAAGAGATAAATTTATTTATTACTACAGTTATCAATTGGTAGTAGGTTAATCACTGCATTTGTCAGCACTAGATTACTGATTGTTATCAGTTTTAACATGAAGGACTGGTTTGTGCAAACATGTTAAAGTTTTTGAAGGCTCATGCATTTTCCCTATTTACAGTGTTACCATTGAGGAAATAAACTTGGTAGGACAGGGTCATCCCAATGACATGTAAGTTTGAACCAGTGGGTTCTTTATTCAACTTGTGAGTCCTTGAAAAAATCAGCGACCCCCCCCCCCCCACCCTCCCACACACACACAATGTATTTGTTCATTGCCACCCTATTTGAAAGTCACTAAAATTTAAATTGGGAATGGGAGACATATCATATACTTCTTAAATTTCAGGTCTTAGCAGAAACACACTTGTACAATGTAGGCCTAATTTTGACCAATTAGAACAGCAATGTCATGATGAATTATGTAACCATGTGTTGTTTACAAAGTGTCTGTGACTACAGATGAGGTTGTGCAAGCTCCTATCTACAAGGGGATATAATTGAAATTTAGATAAGATTATGCTGACAAGATCAGTCTATTGCTAATTGACTAATGGAGAAGGAAAACCCAAAAGAAATGCTGTTGATTCCTGTTCCCTTATTTGTTATTGTTTATTTATTTCAAGATAGCCTGAGTTTCCTCTGACTTCAATTCCAGACCAAGACATTTGGGGCCAAAAAATCATGTCATTGTTAATGTTCCACCAAACATGTTCACATTCACCAACAGAAAAGAGAATGCATCAATACTTGTTGAATACTGATAGATATAGAGCCAATTCTTACACAATCTCATAATAAGAGACAGGGCTCTTGATCTGCCAGATTTAGGGCCGAATATTCCCTATGCAAACTGGTATCTTTTTTTCCCAGTTTAAACCCCAAGTTTTCTCAATTCTAAGTAAAACGCTGCTATTTTCCCAATTCTAAATGCCCCAGGCCCCAGTCTCAAAATGGGGTGTGAGAGCCCTGAGAGAGTACTCTGCTGGTTATCAGTTCTCTGTCAAATTAGGTTAATATACATTGATATACATGTAGCAGCTTGAATATACACATGCTATCACATGTTCCAAACATTTCCTAAATTAAGAACTAGTATTTCGATGTAACTATTTGTGAAAAATTTTATCATTGAAAAAGATGACAGATTCAATTTCATTTTCAGAATCGATTCGATACATTATTATATTTGATACCCAGTTGCACTAGATCATTTATCCTTTGAAGTAAAACCAGTTTAATGATAATGATAAATAGTAAAATTGGTACAACATTAAAACTGACCTCAACAGAAAGATAAGCTGATGCTGGTACCGATGCTTTTATGGACTTGATAGCTACAGGAATGTGGAATCCATTTACACTTTAGGAAGGCTTTATATATTTTCCTCAGAGACAGTAGTCTTTGTTATTAGATGTTTTAGGTAGAAAATTAGTGAAGATTGAAATATTTGCTCGATGTAGCTTTGTCAGTTTATGCATGATCTAATTGTGAGTTATTCTAATTTGCCTATTGCAGAAAACTACACTTTTACAGAGATATATTATTATGATGGATCCCGACAGCTCCAGCGATAGTAACAGGGATACACCTAAGGAGCTGGGTGAGGTCATCACTCGCCCAGACACCCCGGGTCCAATGCCTACCTACCATTACCCACGGGTAAGTACTCATCCTCTAGTAAAATAACTCAGATCTTATCTGTTATTATGTTATAAAAGGCACATGATCTTGGCTGTAGTATCTAGGTGATGGACACAAAAATTATACATATGTCATCCTTTAGTATATTCAGGGATATTCCTGCTGTCTTTTTGTAGCAGATAATGGGCTCCCTTTCCCATTTAGAAACTTTTTATATATATGGTTATTAAAATTGGTGGTTTGTTTCATAATGACCCCAATTTAAATAATTTCTTCCAAAATGAGATATGAAGGTTCTGTCTGAAAAATTGATGAAAAAGTCCTGCTGTTTAATGAAGTACAATTATCAAAGGTAGAAGGACCCAAACGTAGCTCTTACAATGCCTCTATAACCAGCATACTTTCATGTACATTTAATTCTTAATCTCTTAAAATTTCTATTCAAATGAACAAACTTGTGTTCTTTTATTATATTATTTTTGCTGCAAAAGTTAAGACCAGCTTGGTCTTATGACATACATTATTTTAAAATCATAATTACATTAAAATGTTTTTTTAAAATACTAGTATATTTTGAGGCCTTAGACTTTGAAGACTTCGTCTTCTATGAATACCTCGAAGATTTGGTAGTCATAATAATGGATATTGGAATTAGAGATATAGGTATTTCAAAAAGAAAATGATTTATCAGGATACATGGGGGAAAAAATATGTGCAAGTTCAATTAAAGTCTAGTGATTGAATTAGAGAAAGCACAAAAATGTCGCTGATAATCTTTGATAAATTATGTCCGCCAATAAATAGACATGATATAATAAGTTATTAAGAAACAATTCATTATCATATTCATGAAGTGTTTTGTCTTTTTTGAAAAGATTGTGAAATTCTTTTGTTTGCAGGACACACTTTTCGAACTCCAGTTTTGTCCTTTAGCCAAGAAGAGACCTGCTTGTCTGTCAGAAGAATTCAACACGTATGTACTTCAAAAAGTTATGAAAGAATTGGGAAGAAAATTAAAGTAGTCATATTTAGGCAGTTTTAAATATATTGATAGATATTGTACTTTACTGTGTTGACGATTGATATCTTCAAATTTCTTTCAACATCATTCTTGTCTTGGTCATCTTTTACAGCATCGATGGATTGTGGGACCCTGACAGGTGGTCGAGATCATTTGACACATCACGAAACAACTCTCCACTCACTGTGGGTGATCGTGATAAGAAACGCATGGAGATACAAATTGAGAGAGATTACTTGATGAGAAGAAGACCATCCGGTTGGTATTGAATTTGCATGATCAATGATTAGAAACTTTATTTTACTGATCGGCAGGAAAGGATTTAGGGCTTTGCTTTTGTTGACTGTCAATGGTTAAGAATGTATGAAATACATATTTATAGTGTTATTTGTGTTATGATTGTACTAAAAACATATAATGTTTAAAGTGTTCACATTTATAGTATTGCCACATTCATTTGCATAAAAGAGTTATTACATGAACTCTTCGTTTTAGTAAGAAAAAAACTTTACCCTCTGTTTTGCATTGTATCTTGTGTTATGGCTCAATATGGAAAATTATGAACTAATCATTGTATATTTTGTTACAAAATCATTCTCTATTGGATTGACAGGTGTTGTGAATGTTTTGTTAGCAGATCCTAAAGAACGACTGAAAGAGGAAAAAGATGGGATAGTTTTGAGTCCACAACGAAGAAGCTTTGGTACTGGTTGTCATGTAACACAGCCAACATTGACTCGTCAGATTAGTTGTCCCTCTGACTTCAAGGATGGAAGCGACCGTGATAGGTAAGAATATTTCAGTTGTATTCACAATATCAGGTATTTCAAGTTCTTTCTTAAAGAAAGCTCTAATGGTGTTGTTGCAATTAAATACTTTAAAGGAAAGATTTGTTGGTTTAACTCTGACCATGAATTAAGGAGAGTGATTTTTGATGAATGTGGATTTTCCATTATTTGCAGGTAAAAAATCCATTTTTTAAAAGTGATTTTTTATGGTCAATTGCTTGCAAACAAAAATGATCAATTGCAAAGTTATAATTCATATGTATTTATGATTTTGCAACAAATTTTGAAAATTTATGCAGAGGACCCAGGAGAATTGGAAGTGGACGAATCCAGCTTGATCGTGACCGGGGTGAGGTAACACGTGAACGAGGTGGAGGGGAGCGAGATTTTCGTGCTATCAGAGATAGATTTGACCGTGATGACAGAGACAGAGACCGGCGCTATGATCGTGAATGGGAGAGAGAAGGTCGTGACAGTCGGGAAAGTCGTGATCCACGTGACCGTGGGTTCAGAGGAGGGTTTGACGACAGAGAGAGTCGGGTAAGATGTCAGTTTACCATTTCCAAAACTTCTATGACACGGGTTAATACTGCTTGGCTAGAGAGAACTTCTGTTTAGTTGGATGGGTTTGATCCTTGTCTAGTAAATGAAGACCAGGGTTCAATCATGGAATGATTGGAATAAATAATGACATCCGGCCTATGAAGGGACCCAGAAATAATACTAGCATTGCACCACAAGCATCTCAGTAGCCCAAGGATGGGTTTTTTCCTGGAAGGGAGTGTGTGACCCTAAAAGTACTAACCCATACATACCGTCCAACTATACAGAACTTCTCTTCAGCTTTAAGCAGTTGAGTGCATGTCTAGTAAACCAGATGGGGGCAAAGATTGAACTTTGGCTTTATGTTAGAGGAATTGATTCGGGAGTAGATGGAGATCAAAAACTCAGTATCTACACTCCTATATAGGAAGGTTGCTTTATACCGTGTTTCTATTGTAGCTCTCATTTCTCAGTTGACTAATCAGCCTATCCACAACATTCCAATGGTGGTGTTTTGCCACATTTTCTTGCTGATAACAAATAAATAATTCAAGAGAGTGGCATTGTTCTGAAGTGAATATTAATATCTTTTGCAGAGAGACTTTGGAAATCGACATTTCACATCAAGAGACGGTAAGCATGAAAATATTTTTCTCAATAGCACAGTTTCTCAAAAATGACTTGAATGTTAAGCAGTCTGCATCAGACACCTTACATATTTATTTGTAAGTAGGAAAGGTGTAGTTTTTTTAAGCGTGTGCAAAGAATAAATGGTTAGAAAAGGAATCTGATATAAACAATGATAATCTTTTAAATGAGATTTCTTAGTGTTGAATACACTGTTGATATTTGTGACATTTGACAGTGCGACGGAAAGACTTTCATCAGGAAGATGAACCTGAATGGTTCACAGAGGGTCCCATTAGTCAACAGGATACAATTGAGCTAAGGGGCTTTGAGCGGGAAAAGGAAAAGGAGACTCCACGCCAGATAAAGGAGGTTGAAGAGGAAGATGCAGATGAGAGTGCCCAGGAGGAACACAAGACTGGTGGTGAGTTGTAATTGATAATGGTCAGTGGAACAGCTAGGAATATATCTTTTCCTGTGTAACGTTTTATTTTAGGATTAAAAAAAAGATGATTTGAAATAATTGAAGATTTTAATCGCATCATATTTCAAGGAAAGTCATTCTACCCTTTAAGGAAAAATAATGTGATAAACAGATGAAATTAAAATGAAAACTTCAATGGATTTATGGTTGATTTCATTGTTTTACTCAGTGGCTGACGTGGCAGACAGAAACGGGAGCCTCGAAACAAATGAACCCAGTTCTCCTGAGGAATCAAACCACTCTGACAGCATGCGAACCACCAGTCCTCATAACAATATCTTTGACTTCAATGAGTTCTTCAAGATTGATAACCTGCCTGGATTGAATGTATGTTCTAATTTTTGATTGAATCTATGGTGAAAAAAAAATTCTTTTGGAATCAAATACTTTCACAATTTGCTGCTTTTCTGAATAAAGTTAAAATTGAGAACAAAATAGCAAAAATATGATACTGACTTTAATCTAAAACCTCAACACCATTGAAGTGATTTTGTTAATTTATGTGGTTGAGAACTGAAACACTGTTCCCTGTACTCTGGGTCTGTTCTCTATGCTCTGGCTGACAGCTGTAAGTCTCTATTCTATTGCAGCAAGAGGGTCCAGTTGCCAGTGCTGACATTCCTGTAGTACAGAGCCGGTTCAGTCAGTGGTTTGGAGCTAAACCTGGTGGCAGCCTGAACAGCAGCAGGCACAACAGTCGACACAACAGTCACCATAACAGCCGGCACAACAGTAGACGCTCCTCACTCAATGATGATTTCGGTTACATTGTTAATGGTAAGGCCTTATTGAGTAGCTCACATGAAAATAAGCGACATTATCAGATGTTGGATTGCAAAGAATATATAGGGGAAAAGTTTGTTTCAAGAAAACATGAAATTAACTGGAAAGTGACCAACAGACGTGACATTAAGTGGGTTCCATTGTAATAAGTCAGACCTTATGATCTTGTTCTGCTTCCTGGCAAGCTTTGACAAAGTCTTTTGAGGCAAGTATGAATATTTTCAGATCTTTCTGGATTTATTTCTGAAATTGATACATTAAAAATATCCACCAACCAGGTTGTTTGCATTAACAAACATACCCCATGTAAAATGTGTAATTGAGAGATCTAAAATTCGATATTAACACAGATGAGAACGATCACCGATTTAGACTTATTGGTGAACCTCTACAGAAAGTAGACACAATATCTATAGCTCCACTATTTCCTTACAGTTCAAAGACATCAGTATTGGTGTACGATTTTTTTATAGATCTCCTTGGCGGTACACGAAGCCCCAATGTTGCTTCCCCTCCACCGGACCAGCCAATGTTTGATCAGTCAGTGTTTTCGCCAGCCAACAGCACTTTCGCAGATAAACCTCAACATCATAGCATTGACTTTACTGGACTGCAAAACAAGGAAGCCATTGCTCCTATGCTCAGTGCTATATTCCAGAATAACCACGAAAAACATCAGTTAGGAAGCAGTAAGTTGGTTAAATTACAATCTTGTAGATAATCTGAATGACAAATTTGATTAAGGAAGTTGATTTACCAAATTTCATGCAAAATTACAAAGCATCTAGAATAACTGTTTAGTTTAAAATTTTTGGTTGAACAAAGCTCCAATGTGTTAAATAAGTTTTTTAAGTGTGGCGATCAATAAAAAACTGCTCCAATACCTGTTTCCATACCTATGACTTATGACAGGTGTGAATTATAGATACCAAGGAAAATAAAAGTTTGGTTGGTTGATTAAAGAATTTGTAGGAAAAATCTTTCTAGTGAAAAAAAGCCATTGTCGTGTATTTATTATGATTAGATTAATTTTAGTCTAGCATAATAGTTATTAGAATGCTTCTATCATAAAACCAGTTTCCTGTGTGACTCTTGACTCTTTTGATATAATCACAATCTAAGATTTATTGAAAATATCACACAGAACTTTTTATTTCTAAGTGATAGAAATGAAAAATAGTGCAGTGATTGATTTATTTCTGTTCTGCAGCTAGCAGTAACTTTAGCACCCAAGATGCAGAGATTCAGCTGAAGGCATTGCTGTTTGGGAAAAAGGACTCCACTCCCAGTAGTGGTACAGCTAGTCCTGGCATGGGCTCTCCTCTCAGTGAGTATTCTTATTTCCTTGTGACATTAATCTGGCCAAGCCATACATTTCTATAGAAAAAACACTCCCGACTTTATAAATTCATAAATGATTCCTCTAAAACTGTTTCCTGTATTCGCAACTTTGTTTATTTAGTAAATTGAGTAAAAGATATGACTCAAAATATTTAAAGAGAAAATGAATAAGGACAGTTAAGTCCAGTTACTGCCTAATGCAATACCAGTTCTTATCTTGTACTAAGAAGCAGGGATTTCCATACTTTTGTTAGTAGTAGGCTGTGTAGTGAAAGTAGGAGGACGGCCTGCCGTGTACGTGTAGTCGTGTACGGTACATTATTACGGAACTGGATTGGTGTAGGCGGCCAAATGATCAAAGTAGCCGGTCAAATTGGCCGGCGACCGGCTCTTCTGGAAAACCCTAAAGAAGGACATGAATATTCTGACAATAAGTTGAATATTATGATGAATGCCAATATGAGATGCAGTTTGTCATTGTGATAGGAGCGTTAATGAATTTTAATGCTTATGAAGCTCGAGTCAATAATCATTTCGTTAAATGGACAATGCAAGTTGGAACAAATGTGGTGTAAATTTAGACACACCTTTAATTCTTCTGAAACCTGTGGTGTCATTTATCATGTGCCTTGATAGTTTCATAGTAAACAGTTTTCGTGACATCACAAAAGTGCTATTGACAACATGTTCGGTCAATATCGCACAGCCATTTTCCAGCTAGATTTTACACAAAACCAATTTGTCAGTTTAAATGTGAAGAATCACACAAACAATGGTCTTTATTAGCAGTGATATCAGTATAGCTCTGATGTTTTCTTGTGATATCTTCAGAAACATTCATCATTGATTTTTTGGAGAATCAGCCTTTCTCATTATGATTTGAACAAGGCAATTATAGTGGTTATTATTAAAATCATTAGTTGGTTTTTCATAATTTGTTGATTGTGTTTGTTCTTTTTATAGGCAATATCTCCTCCTCTTCCACACACGTCTACCTACCTTTTTCCTTTAACTTGTAACTCATGAACTGTGAATGTTTTACACTGAAATGAGTAATATTCTCTAATCATGTTTACAGATGTCCCAGGAAGAGCAAAGACTGTAGCAGAACTAGAGGCTGATATGAACCAGCGGTCCAGTCGGTTGCCAGCACGCTGCTTCACGCCACCGCAGCAACCTGTTCCGCCCCCAGATATGCCGCAGAATTTCCAGCGACAGCCACCAACACAGCCACAGCAGCAGCAGGTGCCAGCACATTTCCAGCCACCACCACCAGAACTTTCGCATACACCACAATATCAGTCACCTCCAGGGCATCAACAGATGACTCCACATAACCTCCCTGTGCAGCAGCAAATGCATCCGCAGGAAATGTCACCACAGGAGATTCAACAACAGTTACATCAACACCTACAGCAACAACAGCAGATGCAGCCACAGCCATTGACACCTCAGCAGATGCAGGCCCACCTGGCACAGCAGCAACATCCATCCATGCCTCAGGTGTCCATCCACCAGAGTGCCCACTCCACACCACGTGGAAGTCAAGATGAGGGTGATCTAACAGCATTCAACAAGTTGCTTAGTCTGATGAAAGCAGGAGCTGCTGCAGCTGTGGAATCTCCTCCAAAGATTGTATGTATCTTTGTCCACATTTCTCACTTAGAATGCATTCATGCAATATTATGTCATTTCTATTGGAATTTGGTGTCTTACTGGGATTAAAGTCTGTTCTATGTTTCATTTGATCAGATTTGAAGTACTACTATTAATTAAATGTTGCAGGTTGGGAGACCAGGACAAGCTGTATCTCCACCCCCACATATGGCACAGCCACCAGCTCCAATGTCACATCCACCCATGCCTCCATTAACCAACTCCCAGGCTGCTGCTGCTGCAGCTCAGAATGAGTTTTTCCAGGTGAGAATGTTAATATTGTCCAAAACAGTAGTATTTGGAGGTATAATGCTGTTGTATTGTCTTGATTTTTCATGCACGTTGTGAAATGGGCAGAGTATAAATGTTGCCTAGACCATCAGTCTGCCATTTCACCATAATTTATTCCCTGCTCATTTAATCTGGTCAAGTTTTCATTTGGCGCTGGTCAACTTAATTTTTCAGTTGGGGAAAAATCATTTTGTAGGCAGATCATTTCAAAGTGACAACTACATGTTTTTTAAGTGGCACATAATGTGATGTAAAGGCCTCCCCATTTCAGGCATTACAGAGGAATAAGGAGCAACAGCTACAGATCCGACATCAGACTATGAACCAAATGAGGATACAACAAAAGCCCATTCCTTCCCAGCAGCTTCAGACTCCTCCTGCTCAGATGTCACAGCCCCAGGGTAACCAGAACAACAGTGGTCAGCCAGTCAATGATCCCATCATCAATTTCATCAAGCAGAACCCTACTATCATCACCAAACCTGCCTCACCTACTCCTCCTCCCCAGGGCACTCCCCAACCGCCACAGACTGTATCCTCTATGATGGGGATGATGCAGACCACCTCCACTCCACGGGCCCCCTCCCCTTCAGCTGGGCTAATGGGGCAGAACCTGCTGTCACAGCCTCCCTCATCACCACGCATCGCTTCACCTATCAGTAAGTAGACACATGGTCATGGACTGCACCATGCAAACACTACAGCATGCTTTGACCACACTGAATACCAAGTACAAGATCCATACTTGTTGTCTGAAAGTATCTCACGTAAAAATTTGTTCAAATTATGGCATAGTTTCTGAACAAAATTTGTCATCAAAAGCACCCATATGTCTGCTGGTGTGAAAAGATGAATGTCAAGAGTATGTATATGGAAACCGTTTGAAGTATATCATAGGATGCTAGTTATGATAACCAGGCATAATAGGCAAGCGGTAATATCATGTACAATACTATTTCCATTGCTATGTTCAACCTAATATACTGGTCCCATCTTATTTTATCAAAATTCAGCTTCTCGTGTATGATATAATGGTTTATAGGGGAAAATAGTGTTATTTTTGACACAGTAAAATGTCTCTGATGATGTGGATGTAAGGTATTGGGTGGTTACACTGGCATAGTTATCTTACTCACGTTCTTACCCTAGAATTGATACACAGTATTACATATAACTGATTGCATGGTGGTTCATATGATTAGAATACAAGGAAACAAGGGCTGTTTTCCTGAATCGATAACTAGTGTAGATACAACTGAGAAGAGATTGCATAGTCATCTTCAGAAAGCATTTTCATTTGTTGTGATGTAAAAAAAAGCATGTTAGCCTGGCATTATTGAGATATATGTGATATTCAAAGTGTAGTAAAGAGCATGATACAGTGTTCTATTCCATTTGCTTGGTACCTTTTTACATTTGATTTCTGAAATAGTTTTCTGAATTTTTAAACAAATAAATTTATACAATTAAACATCTTGTCAGTTTTAGGAACAAAAGTAACTTTTTCAAATTTTCTATCATTCTGGTATTTAAGTTGTGTCAAAGACAAAAAATATCAAACATCAAAAGGTTTATTTGAGTAAGGTTATCAGAGTAAGGAAAGCAGCCCTGTGATATTAGCTGTAGAGCAGCTGCAGAAGTAGACTTCACCAATGATGTATTGAGTAATATGAAGTATATGATAGTGAAGAACTGACATTACAGGAAACTTTGAGTTAGAACATTTATACAAAAGCTTGAATTTTGTGAATGTGGCCAATAGCTTAGATGATGCTAGAGTTTTGGATTTTTTAATGCCCTATATCATTTACCAACTTTTGAATTCTAAATGATTTGGTTTTAGCTTTTGTATATTTCTTTCTACCTTTGCTTCTTAACACCAGTTCATTCACTAGTCTGTTTTCAACATAAAAAAATATTTCAAATTGATCTGAGGTGGAAAGTTAATGCTGGTGTTAACCTATGTGAATTGTCAGTAAACGATAGATGTAATCTGCATTATAGCATAGTAAGTTTTGTAGTAATTTGTTGTGTTTTGTTTGGTATGGTGTCTGTACTGATTTCCCCTCATTATTTCAGCATCATGTGAGTATATTTTCTATCAGTTTAAAAAAAAAATGCATGTTACGTGAAAACTCCATTTCCATAGTTAAAATTTTTATTAACAGTGTTGTTGAGAAACAGTGTTTAAGAAATAAATCTTTCTTCACATGGTGCTGACTCAGGACATTTTTGTCCAGTGAAGTTAGCACCAGATCAGGGATATATCACAGGAAATACTGGAAAGTGGATTTTCATGTGATTTGCACACTTTTTTTTGCTGAAGGCTTAATTCTGTATCAGTACAGCAATCACCTGTGTTCTAGATTAGCTCTTTAACAGAAACTCCACACAAGACTAAAAGTTAGAATATGTTTATACATTTTCTTCTCAAAAAAAAACAAGATATTCGTATGTCTTCATTGCATCCTTTTCATTGCATTGGGCAAAATCTTTTTAAATGCTTTGTAGTTGGAATATGTTAGACACAGGGAAGCAAACCTAAATGAAGAAGCTAACTTTTCCATGTGTTTGAAGCACTAATTGATAGCTTCATTTACTCTTCATTAAAATTGATCGGTATCTGATTGGTCACTGTTACCATCGGAGTGGAAAGCATATTCAAAATTTAAGGGTTCTGCTTTTACAATTCATTGCCCCTGTTAAACATGTTAAAAACAAAATAGAAGGTAAGTCTTTGTTCCCGACAAAAAAATCTGACCAATCTCCAGGCTGATATCAAAGACAATTATTGTGCTGCTTCAGTAAACATGTTAATAAAGAGATCTTTTGTATGCATGATTATGCATCAGCTCAAAGACTTGTCAGCTTGCAACCTAAGATCATTTGATTCTGAAGTGCAACCAAGATAGGTTTATTCACAGTACTTTTGAATTTTGATGATGGGAAATAGGAGTTGAAGAAATTATATGTAATGTTGCTTTTTGAATGTGGGACAATTCTCTTTTAACTGGCATAGGAGTGCACTTGTTCTAAAGTTGATACAGAACACATTCTGCTTAATTACATTGTCCTACTAACTGCATGGCTGAAATGAGATTTGTTTGATAAATCATATAGTTTGTAATGCTATAACTGGGGCAGATCTCTGTATATAATCCCCACTTTTATTGGGGCATTTGTATATCCTTATACTCCTAGCTGTCCTCAATGTATATTGTCTAGATCAAATTTACTTTGTCAATTTAAGCTCATTTTATATAGGGTACAGAAATTTAAGAACATGTACAGTTTTGTTAGACTGGTTTTTGACAAGTTAAAATTTGTTTTCAAAAGATATTTCTCTGAAATAAAAGGAAGTAGAGCAATCATGAAAAATAGGTATTAATGACATCTTTAGAAATGAAATATAAATCAGTGTTGCCGATGACGGTAAGCCTAGCTAGCTGAAGCATGTAAACCAATAGTAAAACCACAGAATCCGGATATTGATAATCCATCTTCATTTCTTTGTCATCTGTATTTACCTACCTTGATGGGGCTGTATTGAATATTGTTGATTATCCATCTGTGATTCCTTTATGATACAATATACAACTGCAGAAACCCCTCCCCTTTCCCCCCAACCTCGCAATTTGGTCTGAAGCATGGTTAGGTGAAGGAAAATCACTTTTTATAAATGGTGGGTCTTTTTTAAATCTATCTCAATTTTCAGAAATTGCAGGATATTGTCCAAAATTGGTCCGAGGCATGCTTGGTTGAAAGGAAATCAGTTTAATATAAACAATGGGTCTCTGCCTCTCTGGGGCCAGATAGGCAGGGCCCAGTAGGGAAAATCTATCAATTTCATTAAAATCTGTCTAATTCTTCAGGAATTGCTTGATACTGTCCAAATTTGGTCTGAAGCATGCTAGGGTGAAGGGAAATCAGTTTTGTATGTAGCATGGGTTTTGGCCACTTGTGGACTGGTGAGTGGGGCCCAACAGGGAAAATCTTCATCCTGGGGTCTGGTCCCACCCCGTGACGGATATCTTTAGAGCCATTGAGATTACCATTTCATAACTTCATTGCATTGCTTTACATCAAGAGATTAACAACTGATCTCTATCCCCACCCTAGGGAATTTTGAAGTTGTATCTGTGGGGTGAGGCTCATCTGGGGAAATATTTTCCTTTGAAGAAATATTAAGTTTTGAATTATTGACTTAAATGTCCAGGTGAGGGATACAGGCCCTCTGGGCCTCTTGTTTATTTTCTAAAGCAGTATTATTTTTTTGCTATTGATGGTTACAGGTTTCTCTTGATAGGCTTGCAACTGGTTTGGGTCAAATCTCTGTCCTTTTCCCATACCCACCTTTGCTGAAATATATACATATTTCATTGAAAATGGTCGGCCTAAAATTCCACAGTAGAAAGCAGATGTCATGTTTTGTCAACATCATTGTATTAAATGACTAAGATTATTTCAGATCAGAAAATATGACTGGGCTTTAAATGAAGAGAATTATTGAAGTTGTCTTTATATGTTTGTTTGGTGTTTCAGTGTTTGGCCAACAGCCTCCCATGCATCTCAGTGCACCGTCTCCCATCAACCCATCACAAATGGGCCAGTCGTCATCCATCACTGTTCCTGCAGGCACAACTCTCACAGTGAGTATATATGAATCCTACCTTGTTTGTAAGTAAAGGGTGGTTTAGTGGCCTAGTCAAACAAAGGCGATCACCTTTCGACCATGATGAGAGGTATAATTTCCAGATTGGATGTGAAATTGTATGGAGTCGCCTGTCTTACCATGCTTTCTTTGAGCACTCTGGTTTCTTCAAATATAAAGGCCTGTGTGAAATACAATATTAGTGTGAAGTGACAAAGTTCATACCACTTCAAAAACTAAATCTTGTTTAAAATGTAAACCATTTATTGAGTTTATAAAGCATAGATTATGATGGACAAGGCTCATGTTATGATCAATTACATACTGAATAGTGTAATTTGTGTTTAGTCAACAGCTACAATCCGACCACCTGTTGTGCCACGTGTGCCAAGTCCACAAGAGCTTATAGCACACACTCAGGCCATCATGCAGACTGCGCTTCTAAAGAAACAGCTTGAAGATCAGCGAGAGCGCTTTATTAGAAAGCAACAAGACAGGTTAGTTGAAGACTATAATTTAAATATTGTCCTTCTGTATAAAATAATTGAGTGCTACATACTATAATTGTCTCCGCTCATCCAGCCATTATCTAATTTTTGAAGAATTTGACCTTTTCCATTTCAAATTTGAAATTGTGTCTTTCACCAAAGTTTCAAGTCTTAACATGATTAATCTTGGTTAGGTTGATTTTTTCTCTTTGAAAGAAAACCATCATCTTTAATAATTTGATTTCTAATATATAAGTAAACTTGGAAAGTGACTGAGAAAAGTATTAGTGGGCAACATTTGCCATGTGAAAAAATCCCAAAATTAGTTTGACAGGGAATATCATGGTATTGTTTATTTGACAGCCCATCCTCTATACTCCAGGAATTATGTCACTCTCTTCACCTCTTCACATTTCAAGGCACAAGGGAAATAATTTGATAGGTTTACAGTGCTTTTCTGGAGAAAATAGGCCGACCAATCACAGACTGATATGCTCCTTTGAAGATTTCATAGGAGTGACACTTAATTTCAAAGCCATGGCCAGTACATGTACAACATACCTTTATGTGACCTCAGGATTCATTTGATGTACATCAAGGGATAAAACTTATCTTCTCGTCTTGTCCACTCCACATTGTGGCACATTAAACCTTCAAATTTGTCCTGAAATGTTCCATGGGTGCAGAGAGTGATAGTGAATGTAATCCCTAGAGTAATGAGGATGCAGATGGTGTGTACATATTTTAAGCAGATATGTTTATTTGATGGCTAAACTATTGATAGATTTCAGATTTTCAAATTCCCTTTACTCAGTAGTCTGTCATCAAATTCTTCATCTTTGTTTATACAATAGTCAAGTGTCTACCAGAGATTGGCCAAAGTTATGGCTACAATATGTTTGTTTTTTAAAAGTAGTTTTGATATTGTAGTGAGTCAAGGTCTCCCATCACTTGTGGCAGACAATTAGTTAAGCACTTACGGAATTTTTGACCAGTAGCATAGGAAGAGTTAATCGAATTGACAGATATGATAATATTGAGTACTTCCAAGTAATGTGACAAAATGTATTGGATTATTTACCATTGTATGTGTTGTATTAAGTGCTGGGTAGGATAAGGGGATGTATTTCTGTGATGTCCTTCATTGAGATGTTTTGACATGAGTGCCAGTATTAAAAATATTTGAATGTGAACATGATGGAAAAATGTGTTGAGGCGCTAGCGCATTGTGTAGTGTGTCTTACAGGGCCAAATCCCCCAACCCGATGGTATCTGTAAAGCCTGCAGGTCCTAATGTTACCCAGACCCCTACCATGTCCTTGGCTACATCACCAGCCTGTCAGACTCCCAAGGTTTGTACCTATAAAACTGTTAAGTTACATATTTTAAGCAGATATGTTTATGTGATGGCTAAACTATTGATAGATTTCAGATTTTCAAATTCCTTTTACTCAGTAGTCTGTCATCAAATTCTTCATCTTTGTTTATACAATAGTCAAGTATCAATATCTTGTTATGGTCATCACCTTTGCTAGCTAGAAAAATTAAAGAAAACCATTGACCAATTGTTGTCATCACTGTCAAACTCACTTCTAGGAGGATTTTTATGAAAATAGTCAATTATTTAAATCAGTCATAACAAATTCTTTCTTTAAAATGATATATTTTCAAAACAAATTGATTATGTTGTGCAGCCATCAGTTAGTGCAGCTTTCACACCAACGTCAGTTATGAAGAAAATGCATTCAGATAAAGCATCTGAAAAAGAGAAACAACGACAAGATAATGGTGAAGGTGAAAATGGTAAGTAGCTTTTTAAATTGTCATATGGGAGATGAACCTGTACTCCATAGAGTGATTGGAGAGTGAAAAACTTTGTGAGAGTATAAGATAGACCTTTTCCTGCCTACATTAGTTATGTCACCTTCACAATGCAATTCAATTTGTTTCTGAATTCTGAAAAAGCAATCTATATCTGTTTGTCAATTCTAGTTAAATATGATATTTCTGGTTGTTTCTACCAGCTTCAGATAATGGAGGTCCAGTGAAGCAGCTTATTCAGCAGGACACCAGCCATACTGCTGTAGATAATTTAGAATTGATTCAGAAAATGAACATAGAACAGCAAGCCAAAGAGAACTTGCCAGCTACTATAATGACAAGTATGACAACACACTGTCAGCCCTCATCGATGCCTACATCACAGTTCAGCAACCATGACATGAACATCCCTGGTATCAACTCAATTGCAGCCTCATTGGCTGGCCATCATGATGTATGTACCTCTCACTTTGAAGTTGTATAAATTAAGACTTGCTTTTTAACATCAACCATTTTGAGATATTTCGGTTTTCTCTTTTTCTTTCATACTGCAAAATTTGATAAGATTTAATTTATTATCTTAAATATTAATACATTTTCTTAAATGGTTTATAGTCAGGAAGGTTAGCTGAACAGCCAAGACATCATGTTGTTAGATTCATCATTGTGTAAAATGTCACTGTAAATTTTGCTTTTAGTCTGTAAGCTTGGCTGAACAACTGAGCCAGCTATCGACACCCACATCAGTCCAACCAAAGCAGCAGGCACGTGCCTTGATTGGCAATGGCGGGTTCCAGGGCACTCCTGGTCAGCCTGTATCTGGCCCTGTGGCGACCCCAGGTCGACCAATCGTTAAAGGTAGGCACTTTGCATGGCCTTGCACTGCAGCACCTCACTACTTACCATCAGGAATATAGATTTTTATAAAGATAACTTTAGTGTTGAAAATGTTGGGTTTAAAAATGGGATTTATACAAAAGCTACATGTTTTCCTAGAAAATAATAAATTCATTTTTACAGAATTTGTCATATTTCCAATTACTGACAATACTCGGAGAGTTATATAGCGACATTGCTTTCACAGAGCTATGACATCAAGCTTTAGATATGTAATGTTCAATTTCTGTTCTTATACCTTAAGTATGTAGCATTAAACTGAAAAACTATCAGAATTAGCAATAATTAAGTCTGTATTTTGTCATTGTGTTATAGGTGATATAGGGGCTCATTTGATGAAAGTGTTGTTCTAGTAGACCTTTTCTTTCCAAGTTTCCACACTTCTGTTGCTAATATTGTTGAGACAGCTTTTTCGTGTGGAGCTGGTCCATATTAGGGGACTTGCACAGCTTGTTTTCTTTTTCCCAGGCATCACCATCACCAGTTCTAGTGCTGTCAGCAGTGTAATGACTCCTCCTATGGGGAGGCCCATGATTGGGGTTCCTCAGATGTCCACTCCCCAGCTTCAGAGCAAAACTGTTGAGGGCACACCCATATCACTGCAGACCCCCTCACAACCCCATCTGCACCGAGCCATCACAGGAGCAGCCAACCCCACATCTGTCCCACAAGTACAGACCCCTGTAGTCCCCCAACAGAAACAGTTCAGTGTGTCTCCCAGTCCCCTCACCAGACCCATTCCCCCTATGGGGGCACAATATGGCATTCCAATCACGGGTCGGATACCGGTACAACAAGCCATGTCACCCAACCCTCTCCTCATGCAGCAGATGATACAGAGCGGTATCTCGCCCACAGCCGCAGCAAGAGGTACACAGACACCTGTATTGTTTTAGATAAAAACGGTAGACGTGATTCCTGTAACTGTGTACAGTTGACCACTGTCACATGTACAATAGAATCTCATCAGTGCAAATACAGGAAATCTGTAAAACTTTTTTTCAAACCTTGAATTTAGTGCCTCTCTGATTTTGCTTTTCATGGAATTAGTGTTAAAAATAACAAATTTAGGTAGCATCCTATCCTGTGATTCCTGTTTACTGCACTTACCACCTTTTACATTCCCTATCTAGTGCTTTTGCATCATGAAATTTTATTTCAAGTATTCAATTTAATAACCATAGGAAAAATTATGCAAAGAATTTTCATTTCTGTTCTTTGTGAATTCTGTAATTGAGTGTAGCTGTAAAACTTTTTCAGTGAATGCGTTGAATCAGCTGAACCAGATAAATCACATGAACCACTTAGCCATGCAGCAACAGCAGCCAAGAATCATGGATCCACGTCTTCAGGGGATGAGGGGGGTTTACCCAACGGTCCCAAACCTCACTCCTCGTAGCTCTGTCATTCCCACTAGTCTTGGTGTGCCTGTTCGCACACCTATGGGGGTCAACGTGGCGATTGGAAGGACAGTGTCTCCACACCCTCCTACACAAAAACGTGAGTTTTATGACTAGACTACACATCTCTCGATTACTTTTCATTAGACATTGATGTAGTTTTGAAGCTTGTGAAAATTTTAGTGTCAGTTCCTGAGACCTTTTATTGCATGTTGAACTGTAATTTGTTGCGGGTTTTTTTTCATGTCGTGGGATTGCTTCTACCCTTCAACATTGTTATTGTAAGAAGATTGTTTTCCTATTGACTCCAGTTTCATGAAATTCCAGAATTGATTTCTCTAATTGTAGAAAAGAATTTTTTCGTTTGGCACTTGTTTATCAGATCAGCTCATCAGATTTTCAGAATCTGACAACATAGTATTAGGGGTTTAGTGGGTTTAAAAGTGGCTCCATCCATATCTGCTGGGTATGAGTTGTTTTCTTTTATTCTTTTAAAAGAAATTGTTGAAAAAGTGTCAGTTTAATGCTTTCACTTGTAAGGTGTAAAAGTATTGCTTGTTACACCTCATAGATTTACTCCGACTGCCAACTTTGGTCTGATATTACATTGATGTAACTTGATGCTAAGTAATGAAGTCCTATTTGACCTACCAATCTTAACAATGTCTTGTTTTTCTGCAGTTATTAATGGGCCTGTGTCACCAGGAATTCCCATCCACACCTCTATCCCCACCAGTTTACTCAATGGAAACAACAACATCACCAAACAAGATCCAAACCTTGCCAAATGGTTTGGTACAGATGTCCTCAAACAACAGATGACGTCACTACCCCCATTACCTGGCTCCGGTCAGAGGATGATGACCTTGGAGGAGATTGAACGCTGTCAGCAGCAAGCAGTCATTAACTAGAGACCTGTGAATACTGATATTCAGATGATTTTGAAACATCCAGGAAATCATTAACATTCTCTGCTGTAAATTCTCCTGTCAAACCTGATACGTTTTAGTGTCGTTTACATGTGGTTTGTAATAGTGATTTTGTGTGGCATTTTTATTTTGTTTTTGTTATATTAATACCACACTTCCAATTACTACACAGGATTATCAGTTTTTTGCCTCCAGGGCAGGAATATTCTTCAAAAATTTTCTTGATCTCGTTTCTCCATATACTTAAGTGCTGGTTTAGTCCTGGTATTACCTAAAAAATGAAGTTTTTGTTCTACCTCTATTGTGGGTTTCAACTGGATTTATTTTCAATGTTTATGAAAAGCCTATATTAGGTACAATCATAAAAGAAGATAACATCTGATTAGTTGATTTCCAGTATTGAAGCATATGAGATCTAAAATACCTTTTGATTTGTACATGAAATAGATTTTTTTTACTAATATTTAACAAAATAAACTTTGAACTCTTTTGATTTTTTTTTAATGTAAAATATAATTGAATTTGTGTATTCCTAACTATTTCTATATTCACACTGCTATTCCAATAGAAAAAGCTTGCATGCATATATTATCATGATCCTTGTGAAAGTATTTGGCTTTGTAAAAAGGCTGTTTAGCAATTGTACTCTTGTTTTTCATGTACACATCCCATGTGTGATGCCATTATGAATTCATTTAGTGATATAGCGATATCCAAATGTGCCAAGATTTTGACTGCTATATATGGAAGGGTAGGCAGTCGTACAGATTGTGTTTGTATATATATGTGTGGAGGTCGGTTTAATGCTTGATATAGACTGAAGTAGATTCCTAGAAAACTCCAACTAAAATATCAGTTGTTATTAACATGTAGGTAGGTTTGAATGTTCATACTTCTGGCTATTGGTGCAAAGCGTTTTTTTTTTTACAAATTGCCAAGAAAATATTTCATATCATTGCTTAATAGGCAACAAAGCAGGTTTAAAATATATCTATAGAGACAGTAAAGCATTGATTTTGATATGCTTTTCAGTTTGATTTCAGTATTATTTTTTTTCGTGTGCCACCAAGGCTTTGATGTGATTTGTTGTAGCAGAGATTTTAAATAGCAGTTAATGATTATCAGACTTGAAAAATTGTAAAGAGAACAAAATTCGTTTCTGACTTTTATGCTGGTTTACACATCAAAATGTTTTAAGGCTAATCAACTAATCATGGTTGAAAATTATAATTACAGAAACAATGACTGATAAATAAGGCCAGTTTTTGTATGTAAAGTTGACTTATTTGTAGTTATTGAAGGAAAAATAAAAAAGTGGTTTCAGCTTAAGTCTATATCTGAAAGTACTGAAATGAAACGAATGATACAAACGTTTTCATTACATATGGCTATTTCAACAAAGAGCTGGTGTTGTTGTTACATAGCTAGTTAGAAATGTACATAAGCTTTTCACAACTTGTAGTGTTGTTTGTATGATTTTCATAATGACTGACAAGTGAATACGTATTTAAATTTGAACGTTGATAGACAACAAAGGAACCCGACAACATATTAATCCACTGTTATTTTTGTTCTATTTTGTTTTCCTTTTGAATGTGAATTCTTATATTTGTGTGTGTGTAAATATGTGAAATTCTTACTTGTATCAAAACACTATATGAAAAAATGTTGCTCAGTGTGTTTTTTTTTTCTTTTTTTTTTTTTATAAAACATTTTTGCCTCTTTTCTATATTTTATTTATTTTTCCTTTCATGACTGTAAATAAGTTAAAATTAGACACACCTTCTTTGTAGCCATGTTGTACCTTCTCTTTGAACTTACACTGGAGATAAAAAGTCACCTTAAAATGTTGTGAAACTAATTACACTTTTGTCAAAATATATGGGTATCTTCGTTTATTCATATTTTTAGCACACTTGAAAAGAGTTCACTTAAACATGCATAAATTTTGAAATTTTATGTAAATAAACCCGCAAATGTACCCCTAAATCGTGAACAGCATATCTGTAAGTGTTGCTATTACATATAAAATGTAATGCTATTATTCTCTTAACTAGTCAGTTGGTTCAATATTTGTTCACTTGTATCCTAGACACCATCGTACCCCTGTAAATTGTCAACCTATCATAGTTTATTTTGCTTCTAATCTTGTACATGCTTGATGTCAGTGTTTAGTCCTAATTGTTAGCAGCATAACAAATAATAAATATAATTATGAGAAATATATCATTTACTTGATAAAGGATAATGCGGTTTTGTTTATTCGAATTTGATGATTTTTCTCGTTATTTTTAAATATTTTTTTTGTACAGTAATATGCACAATTCTGGGTCCAACCTAGATCTATTGATATCACATTTCTGGCACTTCATCACTCCTCCATTGTCTTATTGTTGTATTCAAATGGTGCAATGAAAACTTTGATATGTCCACATAATATAGTTTTATTTTTCTTAGATTTGAAAATATAGTTGGCCCACATATACAGCAATAATGATTTATGCACTTGAAGTGTGGATGTGTACTTCCCACATTCAGATGGAGCTACATACATGGAAATTCTTGAGAGTATTGTGTGAAATCTTGGTGAAACACTTCTATACTGCAGAATGGTAACAAAAATTGTAACAGAGCGAAAAAGGGGTGGGTTGGGGATAGATTTCACTCTTCAAATTTTTTCTACAGGAGATGTACCAACCTCTGAAAGTACTGCTAAACATATTTTGTATAGTTAATAATTTTCAGGAAGATAAATATGTTAGAGAGTTTTACTTTTGTGTGGTTAGTACATGCCCACACTTTGTTTAGTCATCATATTGCTGTCGTGTGGCTTTTTCACCGCCTGACTCGCCTCACTGTGTAAATTATTTTTTGACACAGCTTCACACATTGGTAGTGGTGGTTACACCAAGCCACATCAATCATGTTTGTGTTGGGGAAATGAAGTTGAATTGTTTAATGTAATAACTTATGCATTCATTGTACGTGTTATTCTGATATATTAGGGTTAGATGTAAATATAACGTAATTATGTGTTTATTGTCATTGAATATTTGAAATTTTTCATCTCGTGTCCTTTCTTAACAAAGGAAATTTTGTTGTTATTAAAGTGTCACTTCATAATCAAGTCACCACCCCTCCCCTTCACAGATATACCCCAACCTTCCAGACCTGAAATTGTTATCCGAAGGGATTGTTCCCTGTACTATTTGTGTGTACATTAAGATAATCATAGTTTATGTGGTTATAAAAGTGAGGCTTGATGTGCAGTAATCATATTTTTTGTCTCGTTTTGATTGGTAAATATATTTGATGGTTATTTTTGTAAAAAAGTTGTAACTTGAATAAGAAATGTTTGACAGAATACTGATTTATATATACGTGTACAGGTGGTGTGATAATTTACTGCACTTTCTATTAACAATAGTGCAGATCTACATAGAAAATTTTGTGTTCTTTGTATCTTTGTTTATGTGATTGTTGTTATCATTTTCGATGTTTTAATACTCCGACTGGGCTGATGATCATATGGCTGTCATATGGCCTAACACTTAACAACCATATTTCTAAGTTCTCATTGGCTAGACAAATAAAGTTTAGTTACAATTTGAATATTATACCAGGTTTTTTTTTGGAGAGTGGTATTTGTTAAAATTCAGATAAGATAAGTCCGTGGTGTATGGCTGCCTTGAACAGGTTGGTAGAATTAGTTGATTAGCCTAGATCAGTATGCAAGTTTCTTATTCTGCTCTGTTCTGGTAACTGTGTGTAGTATTGAAGTCTTGATTTATATAAGGGTATGTGATGGATTATTACTGTCACTCTTCGATCCTTTGCCCAGTTGGAGGTTTGTTCAATTCTGTGAAGTGCCGATGACAGATGTGGAACAAGTTTGATGTTATTTGAGGGTGGCATGGTAGAATGGCTGATATCAAAGATATCAGAATGTCTGTCGGGGGTTAACTTTCTACATTCAGTGCTGCAGAAGAATTTTCTTCTCTTAATTGGATTTTGAAAGAGCTGTAGGGCTTGCGAGGGCGAGTGTTAAATTTTTGTTTTGTTTTGTCCGAGTTTTGGTGCATCAGTACAAGTTGTTGATTGTTCGAGGGTATATGTTGTGCGACTGCTGGAAGAATGCTGACATGTGAATGCTGGAGAAGTGTACATAATATGGATCTAAATGTGTGAGTAATACTGGTGATACAGATTTTATAGTGGTATAAGAGATTAGTTGTTTGACATTACGTGTTGTGAAGACAGTCAAGTCTATATATACATATATAAAAAGTATATCTTTTACCTTATAAATATCTTGGCTACACTGATTGATTGAATATTCTTTGGTTATTTTGTAAAACTTGATGTGAAACCTTCTTACATTTGATGCATATTTTTTTTTTTTTTTTTTTGACTTTAAAAGTTGTTAGACTTTCCAGATTATTTTTTTTAACCTATCCGCCTCTCCCTCCCAACCCCTCTTCAAAAAATCTTGTAAATAATGTATTTCTCTTTTTTTAACCCCAGACTGCAGGATGCGTTTCAAAAAGCAGCTGAACCTTTGCTCCCGACATATCTTTGTGTTCAACTGATCCATTTTGTGATCAGTGACAGAAGTCTTGTCTTAGGCTCCTGGTATATAAGGTTCAGTTTAAATGCAATAATGCGAATACCATGTGAATTTGAACTAAAATTTGAAAAAAAAAAAGAGAGAAAAATTTGTGACAGTTTTATACGTATTAGGGCAGTGTTCTCTAGGAGAAAAAGATTAGAAAGAAGTTTCTTGCTATAGGGGCACAATAGTGTTGTGTCAGTAAGGAATGTTGGTAAAGCTGAAGAGGTATTGATTTGCATCGATTCATTCATCTAGTAATTGGACTTACATTTTAATTGGAATTCTGTAAAAATGTCAATTTTATTCGAATATTGAAAAAATTTGCATCCTGAAATCTAGTGATGAATTAGAATAAATTCTCAACTGGTCTTGGATGGAGGGGACCAATATCTTATGTGAAAAAGGGTGAAAAAAATTATTTTAAATTGATGTTTTCAGGATGTTTATATTAAAAATTAATATATCTGAAGTAGCTATTGCAAGGAATTTATTTTCCTTAAAAAAAGTGTAAACAGTATTCCAAATCTTTTGAAATTCGTTGTTAAACATGCAAGTATGTATTATTATGATGTGTTTGAATGGCAGCCGCCTGTGAGAGATGGGCAGTGTAGGGCGTGTGTCAATCATGTGCTGGTGCAGTAGTGCTAGCAGCTGAGGAGAACAGCTGTGGGATTATAGAGATTATTATTACACATTATTTTGAGTTTCACTGTTGTAAGGAGTAAGAATTGATGGCAAAACAAAGTCTTTATCCTTTTAGACTTTCCTACAGTGCAACATACCGTAATATCAATGGTTTCCTTATCAAAGCTAGAGTTGATTTATGTCAAACTTGTCACTCAGTGCTTTATAAGAAGTCTAAAAAATAAATTGTAAAAAAAAAGAAAATTTGTGTTTGTTTTTCTGTGACTTAGATAGACAAGTGACTATGATCATATTCCACATTGGTCTAATTCTAACTTTTAAGCTACCAGGTACCCATCATTAAGTGTAGACTGATCAAATTGTCTATGGTCCATCTTCAATAAGTAATTTTATCATTAACACTAGTTTTCCAGGTGAAATGTGTGGTCAAAATTGAATTCAGTGTGCAGAAGTGAAGGCCCTCAGCCACCTTTATCTGATAATCCATTTGATACTCCTGGAGATTGACAATGGTAACCACCATCTTTGTGCATATGTACGAGACCTACTGATGTAATGATCTCTACAGAGTGTGATAATATTCTTAACCATTTATACATGATATTTTCCTGCAGTATGCAAAGTGTAGCAATATAAAATTTGTGGCTCAAAGTCCAGTAAAAACATTTGTTGGTCAGTCTATTGAACACAGTAGAGTTGTCAGAGATCAAGTCTAACACTACCTATTGTTAAAGTAAGTAGGGATGAGCTTATTGTGTAAATATGGAATACTTTTTAGGTCATCTGACCCAAAGGATCAAGATGACCTATAGCCATTGTGCTTCGTCCGTCGTCGTCCGCCGTGCGTAAACTTTTCATTCAAACAACTTCTTCTCAAATACTAGAAGGTCTAGGGGGCTAATACTTGGCACAGAGGATACTGGCATGGAGCTCTACCAAGTTTGTTCAAAGAAATGACCTTGACCCACTTTAAAGGTCACAGGGGTCAAATATGTTAAAATCTTTAAACAACTTCTTCTCATTAACAAAAAGGCTCAGAGTGTAGATATTGGGCCTGTAAAATGCTGGGATGAAGTGCTACTAAGTTTGTTCAAGTGAATGACCTTGACCCACGTTCAAGGTCACAGGGACAAATATGTTAAAATCTTTAAACGACTTCTCCTCAATAACCAAAAGGCTCAGATTGCTGATATTGTGCCTGTGGCATGCTGGGATGAAGGGCTATCAAGTTTGTTCAATGAATGACCTTGAACAACTTTCAAGGTCACAGGGGTCAAATATGTTAAAATCTTTAAATAACTTCTTCTCAAATACTAGAAGGCCTAAGGGGCTAATACTTGGCCCATAGCATGCTGGCATGGAGCCCTACAAAGTTTGTTCAAATGAATGACCTTGGCCCATTTTCAAGGTCACATGGTCAAATATGTTAAAATATACAAAGGACTTCATCTCAATAAGCAAAAGTCTATGAGTGCTGATATTGGGTCTGTAGCATGCTGGGAGGAAAGGCTACCAAGTTTATTCAAATGAATGACCTCGACCCACTTTCAAGGTCACAGGGGTCAAATATGTTAAAATATACAAATGACTTCTTCTCAACAAGCAAAAGTCCATGAGTGCTGATATTGGGCCTGTAAGATGCTTGGAGGAGAGGCTACCAAGTTTGTTCAAATGAATGACCTCAACCCACTTTCTAGGTTTGGCTTGCTTTTTGTCAGATGACCGTTAAGGCCCATGGGCCTCTTGTTTTTGTAGATGTTTATTCACAAATTTAAAATAATTGAACTAGAGGGATGGTCAGATGGTGGGAAACCTTTAATTAAATCACCTCAAGTGAAGAGAACAGAATAAGGATATGATAACCCAGTAACTATTTATTAATTTTTTGGCCCTGTGTGCTAAAACATTTTAAACAGACTTTTTCACTTTAAAGTCAAAGATGTGTAAATCCCATAATTATTCTGGATATTTTGTCCCAGTTTGTTGAAACATTCTAAACATTAGACATCACTTGTCAATCTAGGAGTCTTGAAGAATCTGTTTTGATGGGTATTATCTGGAATCTCTGTAGGATCTTTATCTGTTGAAGCATTTTTTCATATCTTTAGTTTCTTAACAATTTGTTTGGTAGGGTTAATCATCTATGTGTGATCAACAATTATTCAATATTCATCACATTTCAAAGTTGTCGTCAATTAGATGATGATGACATGGGTGTTTTTATCAGATTGTGTCATTTCTTAACTTGTTTCATCACATAGTGATTCTGATACTGAACAGAAAAAGATGGACAGTATTATATATAGTAACAATTTATTGTAAATGTGCTGTGTAGCCAAACATTACAGGTAACAGAAGTTAACATTCAATACTACCAATTCACAATAATCAAAACTGAATAACACAGTAACAAAAACTCCACATACTAGCTTGTGTTTAAAGCACCTCTATTATCTTCACTCACAGTGTTCAAGAAATTTTCATAATTCTGAACATCAGCTTTGTTTCATTTACAACAAACCTGGCTGAGGAAAAATAACTGCAAGTCCTTTTCAAGTTCTATTAATATCAGTTGGTAATTAAACCAGGCATGGACTTATTGCTGGAAAAACAAGGTAACAATGTAAATTATGGGCTGATATTCCCTTAAGTTTTGATTGAGCTTGATATAAGGTGTAGGGTAATGGCGCAAAGGTATATGTAGTTCTTATTTAGTAGCCCTGGTAAAAATACGAGCCACAATATACCGCTGGACTACAGAGAACTTCTCTTTCGCTCAATCTGTTGAGTGACTGAGGTTCAGGTTTTGAATCCTAGCGGAGGCATTGAAATAAATAATGATTTCTCTCACATTGGCACCCACATAGGGACTTGGTAATAATACTTAGCCATGCCCCACAAGTATCGCTTTAACCCCTGGAAACTCGAGGATGTGTTCTTTTCTGTAGGAGTGCTCTCTCTGGTACAGGATTATCACGAAGTCTTCTGAAAATTGGTACAACTACTTTTGGTCTTTTGTTGCTGATCCCTTAATCCAAGTTCTTGAAGATTTGGTTGAGAGAGCAGGTAGAAACTTAACAGAAATGAAAAGATAGAAAAATCCTTGAAAGGGAAAAAACTCTGTTTGGTACTGATCATGTGTACGAGGTTTGGAACTAATGAAAGGGGCATATATTTCATTAAATAATATTTATCAAAAACAAATAAAATGCGATGAATTTGACAATATTGGTCGAGAACCAACGTGGTCCTATACTAGGGAGAGCCCAGAGTAATTACTGTATATAGCACTGTTATTTCTTCCTGTAGAGCTCATACACAAACAAAGGCTGTCACCATGTCAACAGTTATATGAATAGTCAATGGCTACCAGTCCTGCATATAATTTTCAAAATAATCCCTCTATTACACATGTATTGCAATTCAGGATTATGATGACATATTTTTGGAAACCTGTAAGGTCTTAACATAGCCAAAAATTGACAACACTGCCCAAAAAAGCCAGAATTGACTTAACTGAAAAATAAGTATTAGGATATTTGGTGATATTCATAGAAATTTTACCAGTAGTTTGAAACAATTTGGAAATATCCAGTGAACGGACAGACAGATAAGCAGATTTTTAGTATTTCAGTGGACCCCTCCTACCTTCGTTGCTGGGGTACAATATAAAATACACAATGCCTTAACAGATACCACTGGCAACATGTAAAGTTTTCATTAGGAAACCACTTTTGAACAAGTGTAGCATATTACAACAAGCACATTCCAAACACTACAAAAAGTACAAATTAATTCGGAATATGTAGTTTGATGATGATTATAAGGCTGATATTAGTTCAACAATGGTTGATACAATTTGGCAAATTTGTGAAGAATTTTCCGCTACGACATATTAAGATTTTGAAACACTTTAAGAAATTTATTTCAGAAACATTCTATGTGGTGTAATTGAAACAAGAGGCCAATAGGGCTGTATTGCTCAACTGGATCTTAAAGCCTAGCAATGGTATATTTGGGTAGGGTTTGGTATTTCAAATATTTCCAAATTACAGCTGTGATGAAACCTTTTTGGTAGGGCAAAAACCTATGGGTAAATTCTTGTATCATGACTGTCCTTTCCTTCTGTTGCCCGGTAAGAGTTTACATGGTTATCTGGTTGGGATCTCAACTGTTTCAAAAATATGACCAAGGAATTAAGTCCCCTGAGGTGTGGGTCCACACCCCACAGCCAATTCTTACATAATGAATATGTTTATCTCCTGATTCCCATCATAGCTATATATAGTTTAGGGGTGGGGATCTCAACTGTTTCAAAGATATGACCCATTTCCCCTTTTGAGCCCTTCCCCTCCTGTCCAAGGAGACCTAGATTCACCATTTATACAAAAAGTAATTCCTCTTCACCCAAACACACTAGACTCAATTTGGGTAAAATTCAATCATTCCTACAAGAGGAGTAGGATTGCAAATAATTTGCCTGATCTCCCCTAATAGACCCCTCCCGTCCTGCCCCAGGGGGTTGAGACCCGCCATTTATACAAAATTGATTCCCTTTCACCTAAACATGTTTCAGACTGAATTTGGTCAAAATCCCCTCAATCATTCACAACTAGCAGCATTTTGTAGAAAAATTGATGGACAGATGATGGACACTAGATGATGGATGCCACGCCATGGCAAAAACTCCCTGCTCCTTTGTACCAGATGAGCTTATAAATTCATTGAACACACTTAATTCTCACATATGCTATCTTGTAACAATAAAGAGAGTCAGAGAATGATAAGGAAAAGTGAACCAATTTCATCATAGGTTATCAATTATACAAACCATTGGACAGCAGGTTATTTATCTTCTACAGTTTCAGATTTTTTTTATAACACAGTCCTTGAAAACGAAAATCATTAACACTGGTTGTTCGGAACATGTGGAAATTCAGTTCAAAATCAAGAGCTTCTTGTATTTGGTACATTGTATACACTGTTCGGAATGGTATGGTATTGAATGTAAACAAGACAAGTCATTCTGACTTGGTATTCTAGGCCACCAGAACAGGCCATTCTGAGTTGTTAGTTTATAGTTTATTTAAGGTCAAAAGGAAAGGCCATTCTGATTTTGACCCAAGGTCAATAGAGTAGATAATTCTGATTTAGCACACCCAGGGTCAATATGACTGGTTACTATTTTGACTTAGTGTACCAAAAGTCAAAGGGATAAGTTATTCTGACTAATTGTTTACAAAGGTAAGACTTTTTGATGAGGAAAATGCAAGTACAAACCTTTTGTGTTTTCAAACAAATATCTTTTCCGTTATATTTTCAAACAATATGCTAGAACCAATACACAAAAATACAAATAAATGCATTACTTATAAATTCAGACAAGTACGGTACAAAATCATGAATTGACAGTAATTATAGATCACAATATACTATTACAACCAATCCTGGCTGTGGAAGCTCATAAGAAGCCCCCTCCAGCTTACTTCTCCTGCCTTCTGGTTTATTATTGCTGAATTACCTGTGAACATTTTGTCTATTATATAAAGTCCATTTATTTCAATACACCACTGTGTCTATAGCTTGTTGTATACCAAACCAAATTATCACTTGTGTAAAAGAAACATTTCAACATAATATCGCGTCTGTTGACACGTAACTGGACACAGACGACCAGATCTTTTTTCCATGTAAGAATAGAAAAGAAAATTAAAAGATACTTTTTAAAAATTTCAAACACAAACATTTAAATCAGTGGTAATCAAACATATGATATGTATTGATAGATTTTACATGAACTCTACAACACCAGTACATCATTCATTAGAATTACTGCAACATTTTCCCAACATAGAATTACCAGATTTACAACCGTAGTCATTGGATGTTTTGTCAAAGCTCTACAATGTCAAGGGTGACAGGGTATTTAAAAGGTCATCAATGCGAAAGACCTTATAATCAATCTATTATACAATAACCACACCAAAAATGTTCTAGGTAATGTCTGAATATTATTTTGACTACATCAGATCCAAATACTGATTTTGAATTTTTAAAACATCAGGTGGTACTAGAATTTTTCACCATTCAAGCAGGTCATGACATTGGTAATATCCGGCTGACCTGATGAAATTAGATGAGTTGGCGAAACTGAATCATCCCTCAATTTTTGCAAGCATGTCTTGCATGCAATATGCAATGTGCCATTGTTGATATTTACAAATTGGCAACATCTGTAAGTGCTGTGAATACTACATGTATCCTGTCACATCCAAGGTCACATGTATTCTGTTGTTATGAAAAGTTGAACAACAATTTTTCATACATGTCCAGCACTTAATGTACTAGTATACAGATTGAATATAACTCGTATGAGTGTCGTGCATATCATGAAAATAAGATAACATGAAAATTAGATCAAAAGTTTTATAAATAATATAAAAATGAAACCTTTACACATGTGATCATACCTTTGTGTCATTTTTAAGTTCACTTGTTGCATACACAATCAACTCTCCTTGACATAAATTTCGTTCACAAATGTATCCCATTGCATGCACAAAGTACATATGCTTCCCTTTATGTTTGTGTGAGTGATTTTTTACAACCAAGAGCGACCTCTTTTGCAACCATGATTTATCCCCAATGACACTGATTAACTTTTATCCTTCCCTGTACAAATGTGACTTTTCTGTTGCATTGGGTGATCTCCCTTTGTTGTCACCAAGTCCTCTTCCTTTGTAATGATAAATTACTTTCCTTGATAGTCCTATGTGCCCTGGTAATTGATACGAGAGAAACCATAATTGATTCCATAACATATCACAGTTTGGACCGGTCATGTAAGATGAATGTACTTTGTGATATCACTAGCTTAAAAGACCACTACTGTGGCTTAAAAGAGAGGTCTCCTTAAATAATTACAGCATTTATACAGAGGCAAACTGAGACTCTGATGTAAGCCGGTGACGTAAACAATTCATGGCCACTACCTCAAAGATCACCACTGCTCTTGAAATTATAGGCGTGCCTTTCTCGCAGTGTACAAAATAGTGATTCATTCTCTCCGTAGCTTCAAGAGTCAAGTTTATCTCATGTTGTGCTACTGCTATATATTGTAAAGCACTGCATACCAGGATGTACAACAGGGTGATGTTGCATCTGTCGTTATTTATAATAAAAAGATACTATTGTACAATAGTACATCACTTCTCTGTGAGTGACAGCTTGAGAATCATTTCCAGTTCCTCCTCTTCCTGTCGTCGACGGTTATCATCTTCTTGTTGCTGTCGCTGCGAGAGCTCTAGGGCCATACGCATCTGTGTTTCGTCGTCACGCAGAATAGGAGGCGCTGCATGCTGCTGAGGCTGTGTCTGAAGAGGAGGGGCTCCGTCGACTGGTGAAGGACCACCAGATAAGGCTATACTTTCTGCTATGGCCCTGGAAAAACATATTACATAATACTGTTTTATACTTTGATTTAATGGAGAAAATCTGTTTGTATTAACATGAATCACCTGAAAGAAAATTTAATGTTGTATGTGTACAATTTTGTAGGCATAGAAACAGTAAACATGAGCTCTGAAGAGCTATTTTTACTTGGGAATATCAACAATTCCTTTCTAGATGCAATGGAAAAAGAAATGTTGGTAGTATTCCTTTGAACGATGATTATATTAAAGAACCAAGCAAAGCAGTTGTAAAAAAATCATTCATATTTAATCTACTTTAAGTTAAAAAAATACCACTGTTATACTTTCTTCAGCAGTCTAATCTGAGGGTGAATTGAGCAACTCTACTAGTTTGGTTTACTGGTGATTTATATCCAAATAACAGCCAAAGTCATTTAAGGATGTGCCAGGATTGAGTGTTGGAGGAAAGCCGGAGTAACCAGAGAAAATCCACTGACCTGCGACCAGTACCTGATGACTGTCACTTTTAGGCCATGAATTTGTGACACAGAGGTGGAGGGCTAGTGATATAGGCAGTCAGACGCCTTAACCACTCGGTCACCCTGACCCGTACTAGGGACACTTAATAATCAAAAGCAACATAGCACACAGCCTCGTTTTTTTATGATACATCCGTATGAGATGCTGATGTTTGTTTTAAGCTGAATAAAATTATTTAATCTAAAAAAATTTAACATGTGTATGCTTAATATGGAAATGAACCACTGGAAAAATTAAACATGGTGTGCCTGTTCTATCTGGAGGAGCCTCATAAGAACCAAACTGACTTCACTCAAAACTTCTCTGTTGAGTTTTAATGACTTCAATATTTTATTTTTGGGGAAGTAATGATCATGATTGATACCATTTACACTCACCTCTGAAGGAGCTGGTCTGCCTCCTCAGGACCCACAGTCCCTGGGGGTGGCGGGCGTATATTGTTGAGAGCCTCCCAAAACGTTAACTGCTGTAAAAGTTAAATTAACATAACAATTATCAAAATAGTTTCATATATCTAGACCTACTAGTAGGTATAATGATAAACAATAGGCCCAAGGGACCTGTATTGCTCACCTGACTAAAAACAGCTATTTAGTCATTAAATGAAGAATTTCAAATATGACAAATAATTTCTGAAATAATTTCCCTAGTGGGTCCTGTCCTTGTGGTCAAACAGAAGTCAGATTCACTATTAATAGAAATTGCTTTAGATCAAAGTTGGACAATATCCTTGTATGGAAGAATGATTTTTAATAACTTACATTTCCCCCAATGGGATCCCATCCCTAAGAAATTACTTTCCCCCCAATTTGGTCCCATTGGATCCCATCCCTTCCCATCCCACCTATCCTATGGGGGTCGTGATCTATCGTTTATACAGATCTGATTCCCATTCACCCAAGAATATTTCAGACCAAATTTGAGGAAAATCCAATCATTCCTACTGGAGGGGAAGGATTTTAAACAAAGTGCTCTATTTCCCCCATTTTGATCGACCTACTGTTTATACAAGATTGATTCCTCTTCACTGCAGGGTGCTTCAGACTAAATTTGGGCAATATATATTCATTGCTACAGGAGAATGATTTTCTACAATTTCTCCTATTAGCCCTGGTCTTCAGGCCCCTGGTGACCGAAAACCAATATTTAAGAAAAGGGTCCTTTTCCCCAAAGGATGCTAATGACTAAAGTTGATCAAAATCTGTTTAGTCATTCATGAGACATAAGGTCATATGCTAAAAGTTCGAACAATAAAGCTGAATCTGGAGATATCTGTGTCTGTGGAATTACACTAAAACATGGCACAGCATCATGTACAATTTTCATTTCTGATCATATAATGGGTAAATTTCCATATCTAAATTTTTTTTCTCATATAACATCATAAAACATCAGGCACTTAATCACTAAATGGAGTATGCAGTAACAGCATGCAAATTAAACACCCCTGATTTAGAGTTGATGTCCATTTATGTAATAACACGGCATGATCTGGCGAAAATTCATTTTTTTCAACTGTCATTAATATTCAAGATCAGCATAGTCTTCAATATTATGTTTACCAAGGACTTTACATCTTAAATGTTATATTTACTTAATAACATATGATTATGTATTACAGGAAAGTTCAGGAAAATACATTACAGAGACAAATAATTCATTCTTGTATAAAGACAATCAGCACCAAAGTAAAATAAAACCTGAAGAGGTTCATAGGTCCTGTATCACTCACCTATGTATAGTTTTTTCTATGGATTAAACTATTGAAAAATGATATTGAAACCATTGATTTGAGAACTCTATGGTAGAGATGTGATATAATCCTTTATAGTTAATAGGTTTTACATCTGTTAATACAGATTCTCAGCAGATGCAAGAATAATATAGAGGCTCAATACATTATCAACTATGTATGTGTACAGTATATATTTTAAACTGCACCACCAGTCTGAACATTTCCTAAAATCACCTCTTTCATATATAATCTCCTAGGAGTTGGTTCCAATGTTTCATAGTAAAATTATTACAATTTAAAGAAAATAAGCATGCTTCAGTATAAGCTGTTTTGGTTGGGTGTGCTCAAAATAAAAGACAACAAAAGAAGAAAAATAACTGGATATACATGTACATACAACACAAGCAAATCACATACAATACATCAGTCATACAGCTAATGGCAAATATAGAATTAAACACAGTGCACAGGCATTTCATCCTCAGAATCTTTCTTCTTACTTGTATGCATGAAAGACATTTTAAATAATAAGTAACACAAAATACTGACATTAACAATACATGTATATTACCGGTTTCGACACCTACAAAACAATTTATAGACCTTAAGGTATGGTATAATTTGTAAATTTTAACTCACACAATTATAAAAATAACCCGAACGCTTACCTACAGAAATATACCATATATCACCTTAGGTATTAGAGTAACTAAGATGAAAACTTAAGCAATAACAACATTGAACATGTAAATTATTAATATAATTTTGGATTAATCTTAATTAATGAGAAAATGACATTTCTAAATTTTGTTTTCATTGAGAGAGATTTTCGTACAATTTACAGGACACCTTTACATTCTGAAAATTTTATATTGTGGCATTTGTCCTTTGTAACTGTATAACTACACCTCAAAGCATTTAATAAATTATATTTATCTAACAAAGGAAATAAAGCTTAACACAAAAAGCACCATACCATCCAAAGTAAATGCAACTAAAACAAGAGATTCCAGAGTGATCATGGCCTCCACTGTTGATTAATCAGATTAGTGTTTAATCAGTAGAATCTTTTCTCTTACTTTATATCGTTCTCAAAAATCAAAAATGCACTATCAAGGACCAAAGGGAACTACACATGAAACTTGAGAATTTTTCCATCTTTATCTTAGTTATAGCAGTAACAAACTATAATACTTGAAATCCAAGATGGCTGCATGGTGGCCATTTTAATTTTTAAATCCACCCAAAATTTGATTTTGCATGATTGGGAATCAGCCAGAGTAAACAAATAAATTTGAGAAAAATCTAACCAGCACTGTATAAGAAATGGCTATAACAAAAATCAATTTTCAAAATCAAAATTGATCACCTGTTGGTCACGCATTTTGCTTTCCAAGGTAAATTTCATGTGCAAAATTTGGGACCAAGAGGATCAATCTAGTACTTTACTACTTCTCAGGAAAGAAATAGAGATCAGGACAGACAGACAGATGGACAGACTTTGGAAGGAGGGCAATTTCACCAGCCCAACATCTGATGATTGTGGATTTAAATAAAAAACAAATTGAGTAGGAGCTCACATAGATATACTGTATGTATATAAGTGAAGGAATGATAAGATGACTGCTGAAGCAACCAAGTAAAACACAATAGTAACTCAAGACATTGCCAAGATACCATGAAAAAACTGGACATCCAAACTTTATAAAAAAGAATTGGATTTTGAGAAAAACAAAACTACCGAAATGAAAATAGAGATGTAAGCCACATACAAAGCAAGTCAAACACAAAACTACACACACACACTCATTACTGCAATCTAATGTAACAACCATACTCTATCAAGTTTCAAAAGTGACATGATTCCCATACCAAGAGATCCCAGAGGGATCTTGGTGCCCACCATTGTTCACTCTATGAAAATTGGATCTTTTCCCTTCTTTTCTCTGTTTTTGCTCTTGATGATAAAAAATTGAATATTCCTTTGCAGAAATAACGATGGTAATCTTTACCTGCCAAATCCCAAATGGTTGCCTGTCAGCCATTTTGTTTCTTCAGGCAGAAGTAGAGACATACATATGAAATTTGAGAGAGATCCATTAAGTACTTTTTAAGAAATAGAGATAACAATCATTATGAGGCAAAATCCAAGATTGCTCCCTGTCAACCTTTTTTTTATCACTGATCAATCTGATCATGAAATTTGAGAAAGATCTATACAGAGCTTCTCAAGAAATAGCGATAGCAAATTTTTTTACAGAAGGAAGAAAGACAGACCACAGACTTCTGATGAAGGTGAGCTAAAAATACTTCATCAAACATTAGAAAAAGAAACTTTTTATCTAATAGAAGCGCGGAATGAATAAATTGCAATATGAATTGCAATTTTCTTGAAATTACCTTAGGAGATGAACAGTTATGAAACAAACTTCAGTCCGTTCACAGATCATACAAAATAATCTGATTCACTACAATGTTTTAATTTCATTGTCACAATGAAGATGAGCAGTAATGGAACAAACTTCAGTCAGTACAAAGATCATTCAAAATAATCTGATTCACTACAATGCTTTAATTTCATTGTCACAATGAAGATGAGCAGTAATGGAACAAACTTCAGTCAGTACAAAGATCATTCAAAATAATCTGATTCACTACAATGTTTTAATTTCATTGTCACAATGAAGATGAGCAGTAATGGAACAAACTTCAGTCAGTACAAAGGTCATTCAAAATAATCTGATTCACTACAATGTTTTAATTTCATTGTCACAATGAAGATGAGCAGTAATGGAACAAACTTCAGTCTGTACAAAGATCATTCAAAATAATCTGATTCATTACAAAGCTTGAATTTCATAGTCACAATGAAGATGAGCACTAATGGAACAAACTTCAGCCGTACACAGATCATACAAAATAATCTGATTCACTACAATGCTTTAATTTCATTGTCACAATGAAGATGAGCAGTAATGGAACAAACTTCAGCCGTACACAGATCATACAAACAATCTTATTCACTACAATGCTTTAATTTCCTTGTCACAATGTTAGCAGTAGACAAGATAGCTTCCGAAAATAATAATAACACTGAAACAGTTAAAGGAATCAACAAACAAGAAGATTGAGGAAATCACTAGACAGTCAATCTAAGATAAAATTCTAAAAGACACAGGGAAGGCCAACAAACTACAGACTACAAAGTCGAGCTATGATGAAGTTCTATAGACACAGGGAATGCCAACAAACTACAGAGTACAAAGTCGAGCTATGATGAAGTTCTATAGACACAGGGAATGCCAACAAACTACAGAGTACAAAGTCGAGCTAAGATGAAGTTCTACAGACACAGGGAAGGCCAACAAACTACAGAGTCAATCTAAGATAAAGTTCTAAAAGTCACAGGGAAGGCCAACAAGCTACAGAGTACAAAGTCAAGCTATGATGAAGTTCTATAGACACAGGGAACGCCAACAAACTACAAAGTCAAGCTATGATGAAGTTCTATAGACACAGGGAAGGCCAAAAAATCAGCTATCAATGAACAGAAAACTGGCATTCCAATGTTTTGAACAAAAAACCATATTCAACGAAAATAATGCACACAAGCATTCTTCATTCATTATCAGTGGTTTTCTTATCCCTACTAGGATTTCCATTTCAATTTTTTCCCTGCTTTGTTTTTATATTCTCACTATAATGATACACCAAGAAATTCCTAAATTATTACATTTATGTTTTAAAAATCTAGCCTCTCAAAGTACATAAATTAAAACATTATCCGCAGATAATAGAATACTGTGAAATTTTTGTGTTGTATACGATAAGGTTAAAACATTAATGGTAAGAATTGAGTTTTTACCCTGAACATAGATTCCTCTTACCTGGTATAAAGTGTTAGTGACATACTATAACGTTCTATACTGCGACCTACCTGGTCATTTTCTGTATTTCCAGTCTGCATTAAACTCTGTTGTATGGCAAATTGTAAGAGTTCATCATCCTCATCCTGTAAACGGCCATGATGACCACCAGTATCTCCTGAATAATATATTTATACAAACGGTTCATTTATTGAACTGTTAAACCATGAAAGAAATAACAAAATTGAAGAAAATGAAAGAGCATCAACATTTGGAGAAGAAAAAAAATAACTTTCATACAAAAGTTATTTACACTGTCTGTGATTTCTTATTGATTGAACAACCTTGTCTTGGCCGAAAGTGATGTCCCAATAGTAAGATATAAAACTCAATATCAGGGTGATTTTTGCCCTCCCAATAGTATGATATTATACTCCGTCACCCAATATCTGGGTTATATCTAAAAACCACTGTCTGGGTGGTATATTTATTGTCAACCCCATTTTCTCCATCCAGGTTGACATTATCCACTGTTCCTCAAACTCCTTCAGTGACAACCATTAAAACCCCCTCTGGTTTGGTATATCCTCTGGTTGGTATACCCTCTGGTTGGTATATTCTCTGGTTGGTATACCCTCTGGTTGGTATATTCTCTGGCTGGTATACCCTCTGGTTGGTATATTCTCTGGTTGGTATACCCTCTGGTTGGTATATTCTCTGGTTGGTATACCCTCTGGTTGGTATATTCCAATATCTTTCAGTACTCACTAAGTACTATCAATATATGGTAAAAAAATAGTGACAATTGCTCTGATATACTTGCCTAGCCTCATGTAACCACTGGGAGGATCAAAACACGATTCATCTACAGTACATTTACACTTGACATCATCCCCATTCCTGAGAGGTGTGACCCCTTCAATTGGCTGATCCATTCCGGAGATGTTTCCAAACGTAATCCTAGCATTGAGCACATGAAACAGGGGAATCTCTGTCATGAAGATAAGATAACGTTAGGACAGTCGTTAAAATAAGACAATAACACCATCTATCAATTAGATAATAAATCCTTTCCATCAGTTATAGAGATACAATATTAAGACTATCTATCATTAAAATATGGTATCAACACCATCCCTCAGTGAAATAAGATATTAAGACCAATTGTTATTAATATATGATATCAATATCATCTGTCATTAACGTTAGATAGTAACATCATTTGTCCTAAACATAAGATAGTAACACCATTTGTCATAAACATTAGATGGTAACATCATTTGTCATAAACATAAGATAGTAACACCATTTGTCATAAACATTAGATGGTAACATCATTTGTCATAAACATTAGATGGTAACACCATTTGTCCTAAACATAAGATAGTAACACCATTTGTCATAAACATTAGATAGTAACACCATTTGTCATAAACATAAGATAGTAACACCATTTGTCATAAACATAAGATAGTAACACCATTTGTCATAAACATAAGATATTACCATCATTTGTCATAAACATAAGTTAGTAACACTATTTATCACTAACATGAGATACAAACATCATCTGTTATGAGCATGAGATGTCATTGAAATAAGATATACACACTTACAACCTGTAATTAAAATACATATTAACACAGTACAGTATCTAAAACAATAAATTATATCAGTACTATCTGTTATAAAAAATAAAATATTAACACAGTTAATTATTAGATCAAGATTTCCTCTGTCATTAACAATAAAAAAAAAAATAATCATTATTGAAACTCATATATGGTCCCCAAAAACAACTTTATTGGACACAAAGTTTTAACAAAGGACAACAACCCTGTAATTAAGGGGTTACATGCTGTGAATTTGGTACACTGCATATTGTCATAGTAGGATCAATGTATTGATGTATTTCATTATCTAAGTTTAAATGCAGTAACTCTGTAACTGAGGGGTAGAGGGTCCTGAATTTGGTACACATCTCCATAGTATGACCAATGTATACACCAAGTTTCATGATACTAGCTTGACTGTGGGCCAAATTATGCTCTGGACATGAAAGGTTAGACAGAAAGACAGAGAGACAAACAAGGTGGTGACTATATGCTGCCCTGAAAATTTACAGGGACCATAGGAAAAAGAAAAAAAGACTCTTCAAATGAGAACTTTCATCTCACATTTGTTATTCTGTAATTTGTTAATTGGAAAAAAGACATTAGAAATTTTAAATATACATGGTAATAATTTCCTTAATTTATGAAAGCAATTCTATTATATATCTATAAATACTCTCAGGTCCTTACAAACATTACATAACTTTATCGATATAAACAGAAACTGTAATAGATATTAGTGCTATTTTTCCTACACGACATCACAACTTTAATGTAATTTCAAATTCTGATTACTTTTCTGGGGTAATAGACGTTGTTTTATCTCTATGCTATAAAAATTACTATTTGATTAATTGTTAGTGTTTTTTTCATCAAGTCTGATTTTAAGGCACATAAACCTACCTATTTTGATAGGAAATCCTGCTGGTAGTTGTAACGTTATAAAGTCTCTGAGTTTTCTAAAGTGTGCGTTACTAGAAGACATAAGATCTATTATCGGCACGACCTGTTCCTGGAGGGACAATGGATAGTTCTCACACAGCCACAAAGTAGCCTTAAACTTCTGAGTCTTTGTTGTCTGATCGATCGGGCGACCAATATCTCGTTCACTTAAGTCTACAAACGAGTTAAAGTATTCCTCTGGTGTGATAGCACTCGGGTTATACAACACTGATGACACGTCCTGTAACGAAAAAAAACAAAAACAAGACTGAACAAAATAAAACAAACGAAATTTCTGTTACAATTAAACAGACTGTAAACAGGGTGTTTTATTCACATATATCTAACTACTGCTATTTTCATCATAAGGTAGCATGATGAATCGTTAACTGGTAAATTTCAGACAAGTACAAATTATTCTCCCCCTAAAAAAATTATGATGTATTATAGATCAGAGCAGCTGAAGTCTAACCATACCTGACCAAACTGATATATGATGAATTACCCGACTACAGTGTAGTCATTGTATTAGACATGTTAGTTTACAACTGGTATCAAAACACTTATAAACACTTATCCTATTGAACAGCTCACTGTTGCCCTGTGGTCATCTGTACAAACATGTTGCTATTACAATATATCAATGTTACTAAATAGGATGGCTATACTGACCAGAAAAGAAACTTGAGAATTTAGGGATTAATGCTTTTGAACTGGTGAACAGACTTGCAGAATGAAAAGAAAATACTGCTTAGTATTGTTTCAAGTGTTTAATACTGTACCACTGAGTTTTAATTATTCCCCAATCAGTGTTAAGGTCAAGGGTTGACATCACCTCTTAGTTAAACATTAATGACCCAAGATGCATAGAATATTGAGAAAAATGACAAATGAGTGAGGGACATGGAATCTTGAAAACTATCCATGTGTTTACGTAATACGGCACAGATCTGCTCTGACAAGCCATATCTAGGAAGACGATAAGCATTAAGAACTTACTCCATTTGACGCTCCTTGCTTCTTGTTCTGTTCCTCAGCCACCCCTAGAAACGACTCTAGTGGTGTCTTGTTATTTTTCTTGGATTTCTGTTTGTCCTGTTCTGACAGGTGTTCAACTCGTGTCTTTGTTACCAACTCTACATTAGAAGCTCCAAACACCTAGAGTTAATAGAATAGGACTACTGTCAGAGGTCAATCTTTAAAAATTATTTTGTATTGCATGTTACTAGAAACAATTAATGAATGGATGAAGAAATCACATAATTTGCAGATGGTGGTCTGACAAATGTAATAAATTCCCCTGATGATATTTCAGGCCACATTTATTTTAAATCCATTCAAGCATTAAGGAAAAGTAGGATTTTGAACCAAAGTATTGTCTAACTACCGTATGGGAGCCCCATCCCCAGGTCCACCCATGCCTAAAGCAGGAGAAGTGTTTTAAAGGAAAAGTTTATGGACCTCGAACGACGGATGGCGCACAACGACGGACGATGTATGATAACAATAGGTCGTCTTGACCCAAAGGATGAGAAGACCTGACAATCTTAAGAATTTAAATTATTTTTTTTAATCAATATCTTAGATAAAAGTGGTACCATTAATAGGAAGGACAGGTACAGGTGTAATAGAGCAGCAAGAAATAATTTTTCGAGCAATATCTTTAAAGGTTTACCACCTTCACTGTCTTGTAGATTAAAAATGATAAGAAAAAGAAAAACTGACCATTATCTTATGTAACTGACTTTACACATACCAAGGTCATTAATATCAATTCTACTTAAGGTTTTTAATACTATAATTCACCTTAGATTCGTAGCCGTTGACGGTCTCACTCCGATCACTGCGCCAGCCAAGGATACCAGATTTGTTTCTATAATTTATCACATCAATTAATAACAGCATATTGCATCATAGTTACAGAAAACATAATATACCATCTCTCTTCACTGTCAAGTGATAGACACAGAGATTTTCATATCGAAATATCAACATTTCTAATTTAGTGAAGGGTTTGTAAAATAACATGTAAACTATGTCTTAGTCTTAATATATATTTTCTTACAACAAAAAGTACACATCATTCTACAGATATATTCTAAGTATCTGTGTTTAATGGTGACTAACTCTGCATTTAGTGACCATGAAATTCCAAATTCTGTTACACACGAATGTTTTAGTGCTGGTTAAATAAATACGAAATGATTATTTAATACTATTTCAAATCAAATTTTCATAATCATTAGATGATGATCCAGAGATCACGATAATGTTTAGATGTTACCTCTCAAAGGAGATTTTGTCCGTATCTACGTAGGTGGTGACCAGAGGATTGGTGAGGCGTGCTGCCACAGAGTCATCGGAGGGATTCATTACTGATATATCAAAGTTAGGGGGAAGGATTTGCATCATTTCAGAGAATATCTCTTTTCTGTCATGGTCAACCTCCATCACAGTTGCACTGTTAGCTAAAACAAAGAAAACATACGTCTATATAAAACCTTCTCTTTATTTGACCTTGTTTGTATGTCACTTACATTACAGTAAGCTTGATATCAGAAACGTCCTGTCATGCCACTTTCATTTATGATTTGTCAATAATTTAACATAACATTTCAGGTATTTCAATCATGCAAACCAACTGAATCTTCAATACTTTAAACAAATAACATTGCAGTTGTAACTCATGATGCACCTGAAAATATTGATAAAGTTCACAGAAGTCTTTATCATAGGTCCATCTTTGTTTCAAAGACATTCATCCAGTAAAACTATTCTCATTAAAGTGATCTTACTTTCAAACACTGCTATCAGAAAGGAGATAAATTGTACAAGGGGAGATAACTACATTACCTGTGCCTTTAAATATGTAGCTCCTACTGCCTCTTTCCCAGGACATGTTGTCAAACCCTAACAGAGTTGTGTCTATCCTCACATTGGAACCTGTAATATATATCAATGTAAGATGTCTCTAATAGTTCTTAGTTTACTATTGCCTTACATCCTATTAACAGTCAGGGTCATTTAAGGACCTGTAAGGTTTGGATGAGCGAGGAAAACTGAGTTTCCAGGAAAGAACCACTGAGCTGCAGCCACTACATGGCAACAGCCCCCATGTCGGCCTTGAACCTGTGACCCAGAAATGGAAGGCAAATGATAAAAACGGTCAGACGCTTTAATAACGTGGCTACTGGGCCCCCTTTTTATTGAGCTCAGCCACAGCATACATGTCATGTCTATCACCATTCCTTCTAGTTTATATGTTTTTATAATTAATTTCACATATTTATGATATCATATTTCATGCAGAAAAGAAGAAAAACAAATTTGAAATTAAGACATTGAGTAACATCTGAAAACCTAATATGACTAAGACTACAATATTTTGTCGGTTTACACAGGGTTTACTGATGCTGCTAAGCAACAAATGAATAATATGTATATACATTTTTTAAAAAATTATACACTGAAATTTCTGTGAGTCCTGACCACATATCAAAGTTGGTTAAGACAAAGATGCATAACAGACTTGGATTGGCTTAAGACAAGTCATGTTGTAACATAATATAAAATCCATGTGAAACACTACAATCATGAAAACCTGTGGTTACTTGATCAATATCTCCTGCAATAGTAATGGAGCAAGACAATACAACAAATTACAGTTCCCCGCCAAATGTGAAATTATATGCCAAGAGTTCACTTAAAATTAACCCACTGCCAAATGAAGAAGTTCTAGTAACTAGTTGTGTAGGAGATAGAGAGTTCAGACAAATCTTGTCTTTGATGTAGGTAATTAAATAGAGGCCTACTTTTGATACATGATACATTGCCTCACCAAGGTGAATCCATACCCCTAGTAAGAAGTTGCGACAGGTATTGTAGGAGATAGAGCCTGCACAAGATAGTAGAAGGACAGCCAGACACAATGCAAAACTACAGCAAATCCATAGTTCCCCCCCACCTCCGACTTCCATGCTACAATAATTGAGTACACTAACCATAAAGTGTTGGACAGTGAATGTCAGCTACAAATGACTAATTACAGTGCTACAACTCACCGCTTTTCCACACTCGGTATGTATCACTGGGGCACATTCGAGACACTAAAGGCACTGGAGACAAAAATCAGTCATATCAACGAGACGATAAAACTACAGTATACTAAAATCAACGAATTAAATTAACGCAATACAAATCAGGGTCATATTAAGCTTAGGTAGGTTAATTATATTCTGATAACTGTTAATTTAAGATGCTACAAAAAACCTGTTTTGATATTGAAGAATAAGTTAAATTTTCAAAATTTTTTATCCTGAATGTTTTGTAATTATGGCCACTTTAATGATATAACCTTAAAGTTTGGTAATCTGGAAAAAATTATCCTTAGTTTTGATTTCTCATTTGGAATGTGAAAATGATGCAAACATAAATATTCAATTCATTTAAATTCAATGTACCACCTGATAATAACATTCTTCAAAAGGAGCCACCGTTTTAATATATAGGACTTCCATCAACAAACATTGTAAGCATATCAATTATATCTACTGATCTATTAGGATCTACCTAAAATATAGACTACAGTACAATGACTATCGGGTATGTTTTACGTATCTGACTGTTAATGACAGTACATAGATTGAAGTCTACTTACCCCAGCTGGTAAATTCCCACTTCATCTCTACATAGAAATCAGAGGACTGCAAACAGAGCAAGATTAAGTAGAATATTTACCTTTCAATTAATTGTTATTTCTTCACATCAGGTGGCTTATGAAGCCAACTGACTTTTAGTAAAATTCCAGTTAGGATAATTTCTGACTTTATTTGAATACCATTTTTTTTATGTGAAAGGTGAAAATGAGATGTGCACTGGATAAGGTTAGGGCTAAGAAAGTTCCACTTTCCAAAACTTGGTCTGAAATTGAAACTAATCTTTGACTACTTGGTTCCTTAAGTGATCCTTTGTCATATTTTATTCAAAAACTTTTGCTACCATGAAGGAAAATGAGGGTGATCTTAATTGTGAGGTTGGGTTGACATCAACCTGATAGCACATGAGACATTACCTCCTTCAGTTTCTGTAAAAGTTCAGGCACACCAACAGTTCTTTTGCTGTACCTTTGGTAGTCCCTGTGTTTCAGTACCAGCTGAACTAGTTCTGGGTCTCCAGTGCTCACTGCTTCATGTAGCACTGTAAATAAATATCTTGTTGTAGTGTAAACCCTAATGATATCACATTTATGTTTCTACAGTGGTCATACTTGATATTTAATTGTACATGATAATAGAATTTACACTGTTGACACACTCTACACTCCACTGATACAAACTGCATACCACTGACACACTCTATATACTGTTTAACACTCTTCATATACTGTAAACATACTCTACATTACATTAACACACTCTGCATACTGTTGACACACTCTACATTCCATTGACACACTCTGCATACTGTTGACATACTCTAAATTCAGTTGACACATTCAATATTCTGCTGAAACACTCTTCATATGCACAGTTGACACAACCTGTTGACACAATCTACATATTTTTAACATACTTTATTGTCAGACACTCTTTACATATCAAAGACAAACACTACCTCTGACACATTCTACTGATGATACACTTCACATACTGTTTGACATACTCTATGCACCAATGACACACTCTACACATACTCTAGATATATCACTTCCACACTCTACATATACTACTGACATATTCTACTACAATTTAATTGAGCAACAATCCTTAATTCTAACTATTATTTATTCGATGTCTTTTTCTTCTGTTCTTCCTATAAACCAAACATCATTCTTATCTATAAAAATAAGGTTAAATACATAGTGAGATTATTTCTGAATTTAACCCAATATGTCTGAAGTCTTATCGCAGGAAATAATTCCTATCCCCGAAATCTCATCGTAAGAGACAGGAATTATAGAAATAGGGTCTATCATCTATATATACAGTACAATATCTTCTGGCTATATATATATATATCTGTTTTTATCAGGAAATTATCGGGACTACAGAAATAAAATAATCCACATTTTTCTACTATGTACCTGACCAGTTGCCTTTGTTCTCTATCATTGTGGAGGCTCCATACCGTACCAACACCCTCGTGCTCTCTATGTGTCCTAGAGTGACAGCAAGATGTAGAGGCGTTCTTCCACGTGGATCTAGCTTCTCCAACTCATGCTGAAATACAGATTAAAAAATTTGAAAAATAAATAACCTTTGATCAGTTTGTGAAAATAATAATAACAATAAAAATGTTGAGTGGGGGAGGGGGGGGGGGAAGCCCAAAAAACAAATCAAACACACAAATGAGTCAACTAATCTTAATTACCTGCAATGTGCTTTATAATAAATACAGAAAATGCACTTGTCACCTTGAATGTGTGAATTCAACTAATTATAAATCTCTGTCCCTTGACAGAACCTAATATATCTCAACGAAATATATCAACAGTAGCCAAAATAAACATACATACCAGTACAGAAACAACTCAGATATATTTTCATGATCCTGTCATTTTCTGAAGATATTTCATAAATAATATTCATTTAAAAATATCACTTAATTATAGAATCTAATATATCTGTCAGGACTAATTTCAAATGAATACAAATTAGTTGACCACTAGAACTTGAAGGTTATGTTATGAGAAATTAGGAAACATTCGCCCAAACATATGACAAATCTGCATACTGAATGAAGATCATAGAATGAAAGGCAGCAACTTGTTCACTGAATTTCACAAAGCAAAAAAAATAACTTGGTTGAAACAAAACGTTTATCATATTGAGGTTTAATGCAGATCAATTAAAGACAAACATTTATACTGATATTCTAGATTTTTGTCAGAAAACATTGAGCATCATATTGAAGTTTTCCTGGTTTTATTGTAGATAGCATTGGACATTTTAAAGAAGTTTCCATGTGTGTGCAGATAAATAAGGGGCATTATATAGAGGCCTTAACTGTAAATAAACACAGGGCATTATATAGAGGCCTTAACTGTAAATAAACACAGGGCATTATATAGAGGCCTTAACTGTAAATAAACACAGGGCATTGTATAAAGGTTAAGGAGGAGATAAACACAAGGCATTATATAGAGGTTAAGGAGGAGATAAACACAGGGCATTATATAGAGGTTAAGTAGATAAACACAGGGCATTATATAGGGGCCTTAACTGTAAATAAACACAGGGCATTGTATAAAGGTTAAGGAGGAGATACACACAGGGCATTATATAAAGGTTAAGGAGGAGATAAACACAAGGCATTATATAGAGGTTAAGGAGGAGATACACACAGGGCATTATATAAAGGTTAAGGAGGAGATACACACAGGGCATTATATAAAGGTTAAGGAGGAGATAAACACAAGGCATTATATAGAGGTTAAGGAGGAGATAAACACAGGGCATTATATAGAGGTTAAGGAGTAGATAAACACAGGGCATTATATAAAGGTTAAGGAGGAGATACACACAGGGCATTATATAGAGGTTAAGGAGGAGATACACACAGGGCATTATATAGAGGTTAAGGAGGAGATACACACAGGGCATTATATAAAGGTTAAGGAGGAGATACACACAGGGCATTATATAGAGGTTAAGGAGGAGATAAACACATGGCATGATATAGAGGCCTTAACTGTAAATAAACACAGGGCATTATATAGAGGTTAAGGAGGAGATACACACAGGGCATTGTATAGAGGTTAAGGAGCAGATTAACACAGGGCATGATATAGAGATTAAGTAGATAAACACAGGGCATTATATAAAGGTTAAGGAGGAGATAAACACAGGGCATTATATAGAGGCCTTAACTGTAGATAAACACAGGGCATTATATAGAGGTTAAGGAGGAGATAAACACAGGGCATTATATAGAGGTTAAGGAGGAGATAAACACAGGGCATTATATAGAGGTTAAGTAGAAGATAAACATGCAACATTATATAGAGTTAAAGTACAAATAAACACAGGGCATTGTATATAATTTAAGGTGTTGATAAACATGGGATATTATATAATGGTTTAGGTTTTGATAAACAAGGGACATTATACAGAAATTTAGGTGTTGATAAACATGGGATATTATATAATGGTTTAGGTGTTGATAAACAAGGGATATTATATAGAAGCTTAGGTGTAGATAAACAAGGGACATTATATAACGGTTTAGGTGTTGATAAACAAGGGATATTATATAGAAGCTTAGGTGTAGATAAACAAGGGACATTATATAACGGTTTAGGTGTTGATAAACAAGGGATATTATATAGAAGCTTAGGTGTAGATAAACAAGGGATATTATATAACGGTTTAGGTGTTGATAAACAAGGGATATTATATAGAAGCTTAGGTGTAGATAAACAAGGGACATTATATAACGGTTTAGGTGTTGATAAACAAGGGATATTTTATAATGATTTAGGTGAGGACATGCTTTATCTCATGTTGATTTCTATATAGCTTGTTATCTATCAACTTATTCATTACAGAGGAAAGTGAATTATGTGATAAATTCAATGCAAATAACAGTTCTTGATTGGAAATATTTCTAATTGCTATTGTTGGTCTAATGCTAACAATTTTATATCTGTATAGCATGTTATTCTGAACAAATACAATATTTAAAATCTATCTGTAATGTGGAAGGGAAGCCATGTCAATTACATTAGTAAACATTGTTTTATAATCAATATGATAGCATCTATCCTAAATCCCTCCCTGTCTAAGCCTATTACCTTACAAGCCATGATGGACATGTATTCTCTAAGCTAGGGCAGATCATGACATATCGGAAGTCAACGTTTCTGGGGCACATTTATCTGATGTAGCACAGGAGCATGTGGCAAATTTCCTGCACTGATACAACACAAACAATACAGTAAAGTTTTGTACGATGACCACAAAATTTGTCACAAAATAAATAATGAGTACAGAAGAATAAGTTCTTTGCAGTGTTAAACAAATATACATTATTTGATAAACAACCAGACCTTTCATTATATCTATAGAATTACACATACATATATATATATGAATATATATAACATAAAGTACAACTATATTTAAATAAAGAAAAACTCACATAGCTTTTCTGGTACATAATCTAGATATATATATATATATATGTTCTGGGAATAAGTTAAAAGTGAAAGAAAACTTTTTCACAATTATTATGTCTGTAAAATTCATTATTTACTTCAAAGCTTCTGTTAGGATTTAAACTCAGAACCTCTCGTTTAATTGTCTAATGATCGACTGATCAAACTAAAGAGAAGTTCTCTCTAGCCAAACAGTATATTACAGCTAGTATTTTACCAGGTTAACATACTTCCCCTCCGGGATGTAACCTGTCCTAAATTTTCTAGTGAATACCTTGATGCTTGTGAAAGTAATGCGAAGTATCATTCTGGAAGCCTTATGTTGGTACCAATGTAACAGAAGTCAGTACTTATTTCAATGCCTGCACTAGGATATGAACCTCGGACCTATGACTTACGAATCTGATCGTCAACTGATCTAGCTAAAGAGGAGTTCTTTCTAGTCAAAGTATATTGCAGCTAGTATTTTACCAGGATAACATGTTTCTGAAATTTTTTTTTTTTTTGCCAATCACTAAATGAACTTTTGGAATGGTTGTTTGTACACGTATAATCTACTTTACCATAGACAGAAATCAGTAGGAATAGTGTTCTGCAAAAATGCCTGTTAGGGTTACAAACTCATCCATGGTACAGTCATAAGAAATTTGTGTACAGTTTGATTCCAAAAGATATCAGCTTTAAACGATTCAGGTTGAGGCAAGCCTGGATGGACATAGGTAGCAATATGTGTCCCCTATAAGATGGCAGGTGCTGTAACACTGGAATGACCATGAAAATAAATCTCATTGGACACAAACTGTCAATACCAAGATGACTTTAAGATAAAGAAAGATGCCCGATTCAGCTATATTAAGTCACGTCATCTAATCACTTCCATGGTTCTGACCACGTATTAGCCATGGATGTTCAATAGCTCTATGTCACAGAACTACCATTTTTTTTCTGACAACAGTTAAGTTACATGATGATGAGTAACGAGAGATGCAGATGGTTCACACAAAATTTCAGCAGTATATATATATATATATATCTAAGAGTAAACTGGATATTTCTTGAGTTTTAGCCACACAAACTTTGTAAGGAAAGTCTCTATCACTATAGCTAGCCCTCCACCTCTGGGTTAAGGGTTCGAGGCCAACATGGGGCAGTTGTTAGATACTGACTACAGGTCAATTGTTTTTCTCCAGTAACTCAGAATTTCCTCCACCAACCAAACCTCGCAGGTCATTAAAATGACCCTGACTGTTATAGGACGTAAAGCAACCATAAACAAATACAGGTTGGCTTATTACTAGGTATGGGATCAAGAAATGCCAAGCACTAACACAGACGTTAGTTCATTCCAGTTATATTTAAGATCATGGTAAATGGTTAGTGCAAAGAGTTGCAACTTTCTCTTTAAGACCCAGTGTTCTGAACTTCTACATATACTTGGTATGTTTTACAGCTAGAAACAAGGATCAGTCATAAGGTTTAAGAGTTACGGTATGACAAAGGATGTGACTGATGAAGCTGCAAATATAATTCTAGGGAATTAGTTAGGTGTGGTGGCTTAAGTTATGTCAACAAGGCTGAAAGCATCATCATTACTACTAAGTAATCAATGTGTAGAGTACCTACACTAAACAGGATACACTCTGTAATAGTGATGATCAATAAAAAGCTCTTATTTATGTTTACATTGTAATTTAACTCCTTAGTATTCACTGACAATCATTGTCAATGTAAACCAACATCTGACCCGTTCATTGATAATATTGTTGTCATCAACTGATATTTCCATTTCTGGTGTGTATTCTCTATTTGGCTTTACCTACAAAATTGTATTTTGGTAATGTTATCTATACAATTAAAATAATGCAAATCTTAGATTTCATAATTACACAACTGTGTTATTTTGTTGAGACTTGATATAGCGATGGTCATTTCAATCTATTACGATTCAACCATATGGTTAGGAAATCCGAGTAAACTGACAAAAGATTGAAATGGCAGTTATGTATTGACACAAAATGAGTTGATTCAAAGTCATAACCTCTTAACTTCAACCCAAATTGAGAATCTGACTAGAGTTCTTGTAATAAGCAAGCAATGTGTTTCCATATATATATTCACAGTCCTGTCATAATTCTTAGAAGCTTAACTTCTATGTCATTTACATATACTACAATTAAACTACTTAATTAGAGCTTTTCACTGTAAATCCCTTCATTGAACATATATTGTGTACGTTGACATCACATGGAAAAACAACTAACCCATAGGAAACATCATCCCCACACATCAAGCTTGTCTCGAATCCACGTTCCCAGGAAATGCACACAAAATAAATGTCAATACATTAACAACCATGGCTAAGAAGTTTAAGACTTCCATACAATGATTTTAGATTGTATTTGGAAGCAAAGTTTTACATGGTTGGTTACTATCAATTGTAACAGAAAATGGAAATCTAACTAAGTTAAGGTTAAAATCAAGGACCTTTCCTGAGTTTGCGTTTCCATTAAACTAATAAAGTCATTTGTAAAAATTATAATTTAATATTTACTATATATATTACTATCAAGAGAATTAACTAATCAGTCAGTAAATGTATCTCCAGAATTTTAAATAGCATACATATAAGCACAACTGAAAGCAATCCACATTTTGGCTGCAAACTTATGAAATTTGGTCAATAAATTGATCCCTAGTGTATTGAAGTATGCATGGGATTATTTTCAATAGAGATGACTAGATATGAATTATTTTTTCATCAATCTCCTAATTCTTGCTATATAAAGCTTACTAATTAGGCCCAAAGTCTGTTCCCTGGGGTTCATCCTGAACGATTATTGAAGGTAATTGAACATTGTAATTTACTATATTCGAAGTGAATGTGCAACTTTGTATACCACAACAAATTCAGTACAAATGCAGTAATATAAGGAACGAAGAGCAATGCATTATTGTTATGATGTCACTTCTTTGACATTTATGACTTAAGCAAGTTATGGCAATACTCATGTGTACTGCGTACAAGTGGCAATATACAACAAAACACAACCAGGATCTTCATTAGCGCATGTATCAATGTGAAATAAAAATCTGATTCGAAATCGATAATTTTGGAAGGTAACTTACGACATCACGAGCGAGTTCTCTATCCAAGTCTTGATACTTGTTGTCCCATACAAGCCAATGAAGGGGGAATTCTTCTTGTAATCCCTTAGACGTCATTTTCTCTAATGGTTGAAAACCTACAACATTTTGACACTAGGGAACGAGATGTGCGTCTGACTCATTTGTTGATTGGGAGCCTCTTCCGTGTTGTAATCTGATAGTCGTAAAACAAAATATTTAACGTGAGTGATAATTCAGTGGATGTTAAGAAGACCTTGTTATGATTATTTTGCACTAATTCAAATAGGAAAATTGTATGAAATTTTAAAATAGGCGGAACAAATGTTTTACGACATTACAGAAAATGCGAAACTAAAACTAGGTCAGGTACTTGTGGAAATATAATTTGTTTTAATTTCCATTTATTTGGAATATTTAGAAGCATTTCGATTTGAATGGTCTAAAACAAAATTATTCGTTCTATGTTTTGCCAGATATATGACATTTTTGTGAAGATACGAAAGTAAATATCAACTCTGAAAGGCTGAAAAAAACTACTTTGGCAGAGCGGAAGAGGGAGAGACGAAAATAATATTTATTTTGCCGTTTTCCTGAGGACTATTGTATCCACACAATAGTTTTCATGTCCAGAGGGAAAGTTCGGTCGGTGACAGAGGTGTGCGCAGATTGTAGCGCCTCTGGTGAGTACAGATTTTCAGTTTCTGATCTATCTTTTCCCACTGCTTGTCCAGTTTCAGTACCAACTTTGGTTCGCATCACCCGCATTATTCCTGACACCGATGGAGACTTCTATGGATGAAGATGAAATTTTCTTGATGTACAGTAATTAATACTAAGACAAGAACTAGTCAATGACCATTGTTCTATTTTATATGTTCAAAGTTATACATTGACCATTGATATGCTGTCCAGTTGTACATTTTATTCCAGTATTAGGTTTCACAGACAAAGGTTCAATTTATATTAAGATGGATATACAGCAATCAGCGGACGATACACAAAAAACAGTACGCTTATAACTTATTTCAGTTTATGCAGTTTCCATAATTTCATTTTTCTTAATTTTCTTGAAAAGAAAGTACAGAATTGTCATTTAGTGAAAGTTGTATTTTTAACTAAATGGAAGTTCAATATTATTAAGGTAAAGTGTCTTGCCCAAGGACATAACCACAAAAATTCTAGAGAAACACAAACTGCCCCAGGGAGGGGATAGAATCCTACACCTGGGATCTTCACCAGCTACTTTGAAGCTGGTCAGGCTAATTTTAGGTATCCTATTAATAATCAGGATGCTCAGATTTTGTATGTTGCATATGATATACATATAAAACACAATAAGTGTCTATTTTCTTTACTCTTCATCTTTCAAGTTCAAAACTGTTCCATCAAAATAATGACAGAAACAAACAGTAAGTTTCTTAATATACCAATTGAGTTTGATCTGGATTAGTGTGTAGTGGGCATGTTGATCAGTACCATTTACACATACAACCGAGTGTATAAGTTTCTTCATGAAAATACAGAAGGATATGTGGTATGTGATAGTTATTTTTATTTTTTTAAAGACCGATATTCTGTCTTTGGCTGGGTATTGATTGTTATTTCATTGGTTTGAAAAAGAAAATGACATCATTTTCTCATGACGTTACTCTCACAACTAAATGGTGGAACTATCAATATCTGCTCACAAGGGTAGGCAACTCTGCATTTCAAAATGACTGAATTAAAGTACAATTTCGCTAGAATATTACCATTTAGGTTGATCCTGTCAAGGAAAGATTATGTTCTTTTATGATCCAGATAAAGGGACACAAAATATCTTTGTACGATCTCAATCAAATAGTACAATCACCACACAAATTAAATTTTGAACTATTTGTTAAACATATTAATATTTCTGAAATCTGCATTTTCAAAAATTAAATTTTAACAATTTTGTTAAATAGTGGTAAAAGCTGTATATGTTCTTCAAGGTTTCAACATTGAGGTAAGCTAAATCTGGCTTTTTCTTTGATGTTGAGAACATCCAGATATGGCTTTCTAGATTTCAGCGTTTTTCCAGAGGAGATTCCTATACCCCACCTAAGCGAGGGACATGGGAACATTTTCAGTGTTGTGTTGTTGTAAACAGAGGTCCAGTGGTGATATGAAAATTACAAAACATCATATGAGCCAAATGTTTTGTAGTTATATACATATATTTGATTCCTATTACCCATTTTATTCTCACCTCCACCCACTTTTCAATTTCCCTCCCCTTTCTTCCTAAAATAAAAAAAAAAAAGAACTCAAGACATGGCAAATTCCTCAAAAAGTCATTTGTTGCTTCATTCTGAATTACCATGTAACATTTTTCTGTCTGCATGTACTTGGTTATTTTTCTCCTGTGTATTCAACAATTTAAACAATGACACATGTTGTAGAAATTGTATATACAGCTGACATTTCAAACTGGTGCATAATGGATACCAAAAGGTGAAAAGCACAAACATTTAACCATGTTTTCTGCAAGGCAACAAAAAAGGAGTCAGTTGTCAGGGAGAATCAATATCATATCACCATATTCTTTTTCTTTATAACTAAGAATGCTTTGTGTTAAATTCTGTTGATGTCGGAAGGCTAAGAGTGAGGTTGAAGACACAGTCGCTTCAAATAGAAATTGATTTAAAATTCTGTAATTCGGTTTTGAAACTTTTTACATTGCTTCTTTATTTAGGGTACTTACTTCCTTTGGATTGTTTTTCAGAAAAAATGGAAATCAGTGACATCATACCATAGATGATAAATTTGATCAGTGTGTTTTTTGGCCACAAGAACTGACACAATATTTTTTCAAGAAGAAAGGAACTATCTTACTTGGTTGTTATTTGTCTTTTACGCTTTGCTGCATATACAGAGCTCACCAAGCCATCCAAGTAAACTCATTGTATTACACTGTTGTCATTAGGGAGTCTGTTTTATATATAGACCACAGGTACAATTATGCATGTACAACACTAATATTTATCATGATAAATACTATACCTCCCTTGACACTGCCTAACTTTTGGCCTTTAGTTGAATGTTCACCCGTATCAGGAAGGCTTTGGGCTCAATTACCTAACTGAGTCTGTGTATAAAAATGGTAGTCACCACTCCATTCATAATACTGAGTGATTGCATTGGCCAGTTATCAATATAGTGTGACTAGATAAATTGTTCTGTCAGAAGCTTTTGGCAGTGTGGTAGCACTATGATGTTGACTTCAAATTTTGTTCCACACAACAATACAAGTATATTACAGCCTTGCACAAATACATGCTCCCAACACATGCACTCACCTTGGGTACATTTGGGCACTGAGATGACCATAATGGTTGATAAGTTGTTCAACAATATAAAACCAAATCAAGATGTATATTTATAAAAAAATCGGGATTTTGTTCAAACTACATGTACAGCCATGGCAATACCTCACATGAGCTTGTTTTCTTTGTTGAAAATCAGCACCTTTTTGTTCTGTGACATACCTCTTGTGACTTCATGTCATATGGGATTTTGAACAAACAATATTATGGAAACATCTCAAATATGTTTATATTTCAAGGTCACAATTGCTATTCATAGAAATTGGTCAAACATTGAATGTGATTTGCATTGAAGTGGAACAGTCATATCTAACAGTCATTTGTAGTTTTTTAAAAAAAAAAAACTTATTGCGAAAGGGCAAAAGAGTTTATGCTATAACACAGCATCCATTGTGGGCCCTGCCATCCATCCTGTGTCAACTTTTCCTTTAAAACTTCTTCTCAATATCCAAGTCCAAGGATGCTAATACTGGACTTGTAGTAACCTGGGATTAAGACCTATCAAGATAAATGACCTTGACCCACATTAAAGATCACTAGCAAGGTATGGTAATATTAAATGACTTCTTCCTAAAACCACAAAGCTTTGGCTATAATTTTAGGTTTGTAGCATGCTGGGGTAAGAAAATATCATGTGGAATTCAAATGAATGACTTTGACTGACTTTCAAAGTCACAGGGGTCAAATGTGTTGAAAAGTTTGTTCTTACAATAGACCTTGACTCTCTGGGAAGGTCACAGAAGTCATATGTGTTAAAAACTGAAATTGTTTTCATATCAACAAGCAATATGTCCTGGTTCATGGTAGTTATGTAATACAAATGTATTACCATGCGGGGGTGATAGGCTTTCAAGTTTGCAGAAATTGATCAAATGAATCTAGAAAGTCTTCTGTGTAAGCTGCAAGGCAGACAAGAGATTCAGACACATTGGGCCTCTTGTGTTCATGTGTGCAACAAAAAATTATTTTTTTTACTTGGATAATGCACATAATGTATGTTCACACTATGCAAGATTATATTTTAAAATTGTTTATTGGTGTTTACTACTCATCTAAAAAAAAAATGAGCTGATAATGAAAGTCCATAAAAGTACAGCTTATAATATCTTGCACAGAACCTTAAAAAATTTACAGGAAAAAAAATGTTGAACTAATTCTTGGTCCATTTGCAATTTAATGTTTCATGTGAACATCTTTTTTTCTCAGCTACTGCAAGCTCAAGTCTATAAATAGATGTTTTTGATCATGGTTGATGAACACTTGAAGAACTAGGGATTACTAAACTATACAACTGGCTATAAATTAGCTAACATCCAATAGAAACTCACATCTGTTTCCCTTTACCCAGGCAGTGCCTGCATGGTAATTAGGCAACCCTGTAGACTTGCATTAATTGTAGTGTGTTAAACTAGACAAGTTAAACTGCTGGTTAGATGCTGAAAGGTACTTGATAACCCAAGTTTGACAAACGATGAAATCTTATCTGATAAGAATTACTGTAGATATAGATGTTAGATTTGTATAATTTAAGATTTATGAAGCATCATTGAAAAAAAACACATGGGAAGACATTATGCAAGTGAAAAAGTGTCGATCATAGTAGTTCTTAACAGGATCTTAAGAACCACAGATAAAATTTCTTACAATGAAATAATAACACAGATATGGCTCTACTTTCAAAAAGGATTTGAAAATGTTTTATTTTTATATGTTAATTTTTGTATTAGTTGCTTTAATGATTTTCAAACAACAAAAAATCATTAGTTATCATATGTTTGTATCTACAACAACATGTAAATGAAGCATAAAACATTTATAATTTTTTCGTTAGAATCCCAAATTATAGGTCATCACGACTTGCACCTTATTAAAATGAAAAACAAGTAATTAATCCAATAGCAGTATCTCCTGATGTTTATATAGCAGGGGTCCAGATGTACAGATGGACAAAAATTTTCTGATGGGATTTAGAATTTCAGCTGAATGGTATTGGATCTGATTAAACACACCTTCCTGTTCCCACTTCCCTTTTTCAACTGTATAGTGCTGGAATGGTTCCTATTTTAAGTTGGGGTCTGTATAAATCCTGCTCCATGTGTTTTTCTGTCAGTGTTGATAGATTTGATGTACTTATATACCCAATGTTAACGATTGCACTGCTGCTTACAAGAAACCACCTGATGAGAATGTCAATATAAGTAGGATTCTTGAACTTGTCTGAAAAAATCTCTCTCCTTCCATCTCTGTAGTTCATTGGTAATGCAGAACACAGCAGTGGGTAATCCTGCCAAGAAGTCAAATAATATTCTCAAGTGTTTTTGCAGTTGTGGCTA